CGATTTAAACGGCTAATTGTAAGTTTTGTTTATGTTTTTTTGTCTTGTAATTCATTTAAGGTTGTTATTTTTTTTCAAAATCGATTCTAAATGTTAGTTCGGTGAAGAATTGATTTAGGATTTCAATGATCTAAGCTGTTATAAAAAGAAAATTATATTAAGCCCGGGAGCAATTTTCTCCCTGACAAAGCAAAAGACGATTTGTTAAATATCAAACTTCCAACTATGGAAACGCTCTACACTTCGGAATTCTTAAAAAGGTGTTTTAGAAAAATATCAACCTGTAACAAGAGCTAGTCTTTCGTGCTAAAATAAACTACTCTCGGGTGATTTCTTAAATTTGTATATCGATTTTTTTCGAAAGTAGTGGAGCCAAAGGGCAAGAGATGGAGCGAAAGGTCAGTTGTTGGGCGCAAGGCGATATTAAGTTGGTGTAAAGAGCGTAGTCTACGAATTTCTATAAATAAAATCTTTCAAAGTTAAAATAGACGTACTAAAATATGAAGCCAGAGAAGTATGATAATTGATATATTAATTTATTTCTACTATAACCTGGTCTATCAATTATTGATAATTTTAGTCCGTACACTATGGAACGCCATAGCTGCCTCAGGTTATTACATTTCTTTTTATCGTGCCAAGAAAGCGTCTTATCATGTCAAATATAAGCGCTGTAATATCCAATTGTTATTTGTCGACTTAGTCTAAACATTAGTTCCTTATTATGCGTAACAAGTTAGTCTTATCTCTTTAAAAATATGATGTTTGACTTTGGTATTAAAATGTTATTTAATTATTTCAAACAGTTAGTGTTATCAATGTCAAAATGTCGTTTTGGCACTTGTCTGAAATGGTCTATATTATGTCAACTATTCGCGCTATTTTTGGTCAAAATTGTGGAACGTGTTTTTTTTAAAAGACTGTCTGATCATTTGAAAGAAGTAAGTGTTCTCGTTGTCAAAATTTGGTGTTGACTTTGTAAAAGCACAGAGCTTTAATTTTAATAACTGCCATGTTATTTTGAATAGGAGTAGTTAATGCTTAACAGTGTTCTTAATTGTTCCAACTGTGTTAATTTGCCAACGTTACACTACGAAATTGTCTTTTTTTATATCAAATTTAATTCGAATTATGCTTGCCCGAAATAGAGTGTTGACTGGGCTAAATCATGCCTTATATGATAAACTGTATGCTATTTTGTCAAAAAGCGGTTTTGACTGATTAAAACTCAGTCTTATAAAGTCAAAATATTGCGGTATCTTGTCGAACTGTGGTAATGACTTGTCTAAACTCTTTCTTATAATGTAAACTGAAGTGTTGTATTTGTCGAAATTTCATGTTTATCTTGTAAAAACACAGAAACAGTCTTATTTATGTCTAATAATTGTGTAAATTGGTTCAAATTTAGTTATGTCTTGAGAAAGCGCTGTCTGATTTTGCTAAAACTGTCCCGTATTCTTTTTTTGCTCTATCTTTCACGCTCCGCGTGGGCTCTGGTCACGGTGATACTAAATTTTGAAACATCGCATCTGGACAGGATACCCGATTATCTGACATAATGAGACGGTATTTAGAAAAGTTAATGTAATAAATTGGCAAGTCAACTTCACTGTATTACATAATGATACTGTGTTTTAACAACTAAACACCACATTTGAAAAGGAAAAATGAATAATTCACCATAAAAGGACGATGTTTAATAAAATTAACACCTAACCTTGACAAAATAAAATGACACTTTGACAAAATGATAGTAATTTTTAGACCAGCCATCACCACGTTTCCGACAAGATGATATGACTATTTGACATAATAAGACGAATATAGACAAGTTGAATCTGCATTTGGACATAACAGCATGACAGTTTGATAAATTAAAATAGCGTTTTGACAGTTCATAACCATAATTTGTAAAAATACCACCATTATTTCACATAATAAGACGGTGTTTAGGCCGGTTAAAATAAAGTTTGGATAAAATAGCATGGCGATATGAGAAAATAAGGCAGTGTTTAGACATGTCAATACCATTATTCGACAATGCAACAATACTTTTTGACATAATAAAATAACGTTTACACAAACAAACAAATTTATGGCAAGTCAACATTAATATTTCACATAATAAGTATATTTTTAGACAGGATAACAACAGTTTTAGACAAGAAAGCATGATGTTTGGCACAATAAGACATAATTAACCACCTCATACAAAGCAACATAACAGTTTGACAAAAACAGGCAGCACTCAGCCTGGTCAATATAACGGTTTGAACAAGATATCACTACTAGCCCACATAATAAGACATGAGTTTGACAAGTTGACACCAAATTCCGACAAGATAACACTACTGTTTCACATAATAAGACAATTTCTAGACAAATTACCACCACAGTTGGACAAGACTGCATGCTATTTTGACATAAAAGACATTCTTAAGGCAAGATAACACCGAATTTGAACACAATGACATGACAGTCTGACAAAATGTGACGGTGTTTAGACAAGTCAATGCCACATTTGGACAAGACAAAACGACAGTATAACATAATACAACAGTGTCATAGCATACCAGGGTCACATTTGGATAAGATGACACCAACTTCCGACAAGATAACACTACTGTTTCACATGATAAGACAATTTCAAGACAATTCAACACCACATTTACCAAGTCTGTGTTCAGACATATTGAAATCTTAATTCGAAAAGATGGCGTGCATGTTAGACATATTAAGCTTCCATTCAGCATGTTAACACCGGATTTGCACATGATAACATGACGTTTTGAAATAATAAGACAGTGTTTAGACAAGTCAGCACTACGTTTGGACAAGATAAAATGAATATTTGACCTAATAAGACTTCGTTAAGACATGTTCTCATAAAATGTTGGCAAGCCAACACTTCTATTATACATAATAAGACGTTTTTTTGGGAAAAATAAAATGAAATGTTACAACATGAGGCAGCTATGGCGTTCCATAGTACACCACCTGAGCACTGCCTTTTTATTACGTACGTTTTGTTCATAGATTTTCTGTGCATAAACAAACAAAATTTTACAGATATTTTTTTAACTTAGTTTTTTCTTTTTTTTTCTTAAACCAAGATTTGTAATGACAATATGCAGTGTTTGATTATAAAAGTAAACATTTCTATTTACACTTTGAGAGGAAAATAATAAACTAAACAACATTGCTTAATAAGTGAGGAAGTATATTGAAAAATAACTGACAAATAACAGGCGAAATAAACATCAAGATTATCGCCGTTTTATCCATTTACAAATTCTTTCGACAGATTCAAACGTGGCTCCCCAGCTTTGCCGTATACAAATACGCCCGCTTTGATGTATGGAAACCAACAAATTACCGAAAGGCTCCGCCTATAACCGACTGGTTTTCATCTTCAAAGCGCAGCGCATTTGAATACGGCAAAACTGAGGAGCCACGTTTGAATCTGTCGAACGATTTTGTGAATGGAGTAAAACGGCGACAATCTTGATGTTTATTTCGCCTGTTGCGTTATTTATATTGACGTTGAAGTTTTAAATTGACCATCATCGTGAAGAATTATATATTCTGTGTCGATGGACCATAGGATTATGTGAAAATATTGGAAATGGAATAAAATACATGGCGATTATGACGGTAGGTGTGCGGATTTTCTCCGGCGAACATTTTTATCTTGTGAATTATTATAGACGTTGAATTATGATTTTTTTTCAAAACGGCTTATATATATATGATCAGTACATGTTCTGGGATTGACAAATATACATTTTATTTGGATTTTAAAAACGTTTTAATCTCCACACCCCAGGTGTCTGTGTACATAACCGTGTCAAAAATCATGCTTGACCTCGAAGAAGTGGCATCCTGTATTACGCCATGCACATGATTCAATGATCGGGCCCCATCCATATTAATTTGGAACATAAATAATGGAATCTATACGGCAGTCACAGGTGACACCTTCGCGATTACATTTATTACGCATACACTTTAGTCGTTGAAAGGATATCACGCTTTATAAGTTGTCTTTAAAAGGTATATATATCTCGTGTATATTTTAACTTTTATAGCTTTTATATATAAAAATTCATAGACTACGCTCCCCTTATACGTCACAATTAATATCGCCTTGCGCTCATCATCTAACCTTTCGCTCCATCTTTTGCCTTTTGGCTCCATTACTTTCCTTCAGGAGTTGTTTATGTTGAACGAAGGACAAGTTCGTATTACGGGTTGATATTTTCTAAGAAATCCGAAGGGTATGGCATTGTAATGGTTGGGAAGTTCAATATTCTACAAATCGTCGTTCACTTCGTCAGGGGGAAAAGTTCTCCCGGGCATAATATTTTTTTGTAACTGCTTAGATCATTTGAAGCCTAAATCTATTCTACACGGAACTACATTTTCCGTATTTCGAAAAAAATCAACTTAAATTAAAAACAAGACAAAAACTAAAACAAAACTTGCAATTAGCCGTTTAAATCGGCCTTCCGCTCTATCTCGGAATTTTATTACCGTACACCACAATTTTGAAGTGCCGGACGTGGTATTTGAATTTTTAGTTCAAGTTCATTTCGTTTTTTTTTTCTTATTTAAGCTGTAAACTTTGTTATTTTTTTAACTTACAGGCACATTTATATTATTAAATTGATTGAATTATCCATTTATTTAATTAAATTGACAGTTCATCGCATACGATGCATAGACTAAAATTTCTGTAAAAAGCTTGAAAAATTAAACAATTACTTATTTGTAAATATTAGTGTATCAAATAATTAATAGAAAGACAAGTTCAAAAATTCTGAATTCGCTCTTTTTTTTAAAGAAACACCATGTTTTATTGAATGTTGATAAATGTAAACTATCTGTTTATTTTCTTTTACAGAATAATTTGTATTGATATATAAAATTATTACACTTGTTACCGTTTTAATAAGTAACTAAGTCAAGGCGTGTGAATGTTTTACACACTGTATCTTAATATTACAGAATCAGAAATGAAATTTGCTGCACTGTTATTCTTCGTGGCGTTTGCAAGTGCTAAGGTATTTAGATTTTTTATTTGAATTCCATTTTTATTAAACATTTATTAAATTGGATATTCGTTAAATGAAATGTAGTCACACGCCTTACATGTTCTGCAATCATACGCTATACATTGGTGAGTAAACACAATCGTAATCATATGCTATACATTTATTTGCAAATTGTACTACAATCAGATGTTCGTGAAGTGGTCTGGAACCATATGCTTATAATTGTTCTGTTTTTAGATATTGCATATTGATTTAGAAGGAGGTTTATAAACGCTTTATATATGCTTCACTTTAAGTCGTATCTCTTTTCTCTCGTGAAGTGGTCTCTAATATCATATTTCGTAAATAAATTGATTCATTGCAATACCATAATTAATCATCTTATCGAATATCGAACCTACCCTAAAATTTAAATATAATGACAGGTCGTTTTTATTTATCACAGAGAGGTGGGATTTTAATGCCAGATGGCAACATCCTCCATTTTGAGTCCGTAAAAAATGAGAGGGATAATACAGAAATCCTTACATTTGGCGCAAAAACCATGCCTGGACATTTGAATGGAATAAAATTCCATGACTTCAATACGGTATGTAATACTTGTAGCATTTACATAGTCGTCTTTGACAATTTGTTTTTAAACCTTGATGTAATACGTAAAGACGACATGAAAAAATATCTGTAAGTTTTTCTTAGAATGAACTGTATAATACGGTAATAATATTAACAACTGGACGAGCCGCTATGCGAGTCTTAAACCACCTCTTGAGCTGTTTACGAATTAATAATATTTCTGGTATTGTACCAGCTGTGTTTATTGTTAAATTCCCTGTTCATTCTATATCCAAATCATGCGTAAATGCAAAATGTGCCCTTAAATAATTGCGGCAATCCGCTTTAGGTACCATGCTTATGTTGTACAGCTGCAGAAAATTTTGAGCGAACTTATCAAAAATATATTAATTGTAGCAAAAACAGCTATAAAAACTAAAAAAAAGAACAAAAAGAAAATAAATGAATAAAAACAACATACACGCACGCACGCACACACACACACACACACTTTAAAGCTAACCAACTGTTTTGAAATTTTCATGTACGATTCCGCATTTTGTAGGTTTAATAGATATATGCAAAAGAAATAATTGTGGTAAGCGTTGTTGAACATTTTGCACAAGAATTGCCTTTTCTGACAGTTGCTCAGCTGGCGTTGTGATCATTAGTTGATTTAAACATATTTTATTGCTCTACATGTAAGTCATTAAAGTAATAACGTTAGTTGCCTTAATTTCTATTCGTCGTTCTTGTGCTGAACAAGCAATTTATGTACAAGAACTTTTATTCGGCTTCTTCGAGTGATTACTTCACAACTACCGAAATAGAACACAGATCCATTTAATGGCCATATCCGTAAGGCTTTAAAAGTTTATATGCCTAATAAGATAAATTAAATATATAAAATTAATTTTTCACTTATCTTTAATCATACCTTTTCAATACAATGCATTAACAACCTAAGACTGTTAAAAGAACACAATGCTTCAGTGTATTCCTGCAAAGTCGGTACTGTATATTTCCGTTCACATTTACAGAAAATTGCCTAACCAAAATCTTTCTTTGGTAATGCATCTTTGTTTTTAAACAGAAACGAACACGCTTTGAATAATTATTTCGAATTGTCATTTTCAGTTGATTTAAGTTGGCATTAATTTGAAGATTTTACCGTCGTGAATTTAGGTCGGGGGTTTTCTTGCATTCCGATCACTTATAATAGCAATAATAACAACACTGTCGGAGCGACTATATTCCGTTTTCATCTGCTTTTAAGCTTGTTCTAGAGGTATGGATGGTAGCTTGCACTTACCTTTTTCGTGCGTGAACAGCTCAAATATTATATATGTCCGAAATGGAAATATATTGGATGGTCACTAAGTAAATATTCAAAGTAGAAATAAGATGTTTATAATTGATATAGATATACAATATCTATGTAATGTATTTAAAGTTAAGAAAGTAATACGTAGTAAGGCCATCTTCTTTTCCATATTGCTTTTTAAATAAGAATATGGTATACAAATAAAATGTATGCAATGTTATCCAAATTAAAATATTGTTCTGTTATATAATATCGTTTTGCCTTACATTGGTTCTTTTATTAATTAAAAAATAGGGTTATATTGCTTCCAAATTGGTGGACCATGGTCTATGCCTTATCTCAGTTATCAAATATTCCAAGCCGACATATATCAATGAAAGGGTAAGTTTTAAATCATTTTACGATATAAGAAGCATATTTATTTTCTCAGATAGCTTACTAATCGTTTTGACAATTGCTTTATTAAGAATTTCATAGTTTTGTAGCAGTAGAGGTTGTACAAATCTCGTATCGTTACCTTACCTCTCGAATATCTATCATTTACAATTCGTCCAATGCAGAATTTAACTAAAGGGAACGTGCATGAGTTGATTTTTGAACAACGCTTAAGACGTAAAAATATGTCATAGAGTTATTTTAAAGTTATATTTTGAAAATAATTGATAGCTTTGGCTGCTACTTTTTATAGTTTTGTTTCTATTTAACGACCATCTATTAAACTTAAAAAACCATATTATTTTAGGCTTTATCGTTTTCATTCTTCAGCTTGTGAAGCTTCCACCAGCTGTTAATCAAACGATTTTGCCAACACCAATGTCCAGGACTGACCTAATTAGAGTTGCTGGTGCAAACATCGCAACATTCTGTGACGATTATACATCATATATGATGGTAGAGTCTGTTGGAAATCATCATTCAGGAACACGGGCATTGGGTTAGTGTATCACATCTATCACACGAAGTAGTGTTTATAACAATGTTTATCCATTAGAACACACTTTGTTCCAGCGCTAATTAATAACTATGTTTAAAGACAGAAGTACAACTATTAGGTTTGTACTTTCGAACTTTCAATCAGAACTACTTATTAATAAATTCTTCCATAATGTACTCAATTTCATAAGAATTCAGGCAGCACGAAACTTATACTTTTGCTAAAAACAATCACTGTTATTACACTAAACTGTAAATTATCAGTTGCTTTAAACCTTATTATCTTTTACTATGAAAATAACACATCATTTGCATTGTCTGTACATTTAAAGGATGTTGATTCAAAATTTAGAATAACGCGTAAAAAGCATAGTTACTGATAAGGGAGAAGTTTGTTCTCGCTCACTGACCGTGACCGTCTTTTATCTACAAAGAAGTGCCTACCCGGAAAGGGAAATGCACGAACATACGCGCACGTACGCACTCTAACACATTTCTTGCCATTTTAGACAGGTTTGTCTTCTTTTTACACCGGTGGTTGAATAACCCGACACTTTGCTAATAACGTAATTCCTGTGAGCGCTCCTTTTACTGTTTGCTATATAGAATGAGGTCATTTTGGCAATATGCTCATGCGCTACTGCATAAAGGTGTTATATGTAAAATAAGAAAGTTTTCGTGTTTTTATTTTCCAAAATATGATATATATGTTATAATTTTGCAATAACGAATCAAACAATGGCTGACTATCTAGCCATCGAGTTACAGTCAAGTAGAACTCGACATAGTCTAGTTACCGCCTTAAACAGTTATCCTTGAGCTAGAATTTCGGCCGGTGTAAGATTCTCTATGATATGTTCCATACGAAAAAATGGTATATACTGTGCCTGCGAAGAAAAGTATATGTTGTCACTGCCTTTTGATCATGAAGTCAACAGTATTAAAACGGAAAGTTATCAAAATGTTCTCGTGTAAATGAAATACTTTATTCTGTATTATGTATTAAAACATAAATCTTAAAGACGAGTCTATTGGCAAAAGCCTACTTTCTATGTTCAAGGCATTCGGAACTGCCTCGGCTATTATCTATAATAACCTCGAAAACAATACGGATTGAAAGTAGTTCTACCACGTAGTTTCAGATGTAAGCAGAAACAGATAATGTAAAACGAATGTATATATTTGACATCCAATGTCTGTTCCGGTACTCTTATGCTTGAAAATATGTCTGACAACAATTTGTAATTTGAACATGCCCACTGATGTTCAATTTTAAACAAATCCGACTAAAAGTAAACAGGTTGATTTTTGTCCTTTCGGTTTTTACAGTCATAATAATAAATATATACATAATGTTTTGTTTGCTTTTGTACCTATGAATTCACTTATTTTAGGTAAGCTTTTACTACATATATTTGAAATAAACTTGTCAACAACTCCCATCATTAAATTACCATTGTTTACATGTTTAGTTTCTTAGCGTAGAATAGACCGAAATACCGCATCCGTTCTGTGTATTCATACTATTGTGTTCGAAGACTGACGGAAAGGGCCGAGTAGTTGCGATTGTGTTCAAGGATTATTCAAATGAATTTGCTTTTACTTGTCTATTCGACTGGTTGTGTGTTTAGATCGAGACATCTCAACTAAAATACAGTTGCAGAAATGACGCGAATTCAAATAAAATTCGTTTTTACATTATTTGAGAATGCGTTTCCTTGCTTCGAAGAAATAATTACAATGTCGATATGATAGAAGTAATCCTCGGGACGATGACATATTTCAACAGCACATATATTATCAGCGATACAACTCATAACTGTTCATTATGTTATTGCTGTATTAACAGAAATGCGAAAGTAACGTGTAGAAAAAAAGATTTTTATATAGTAAATATTGCATATCAATGTGGTTATTAAAAATAATACATCTCCGACTGTGATTTTATCGCTCAATAAAGTCACTGTTTTGAGTTCGGACGCGAAGAATTATATCATGGGAGCACAGCCCGATTGATACATTAGGCTGCACGTTCGAACTACAAACAGTGATTTTATGAAGGGATAAATCACTGCTTTGGGACATATTATTTCGATTCTACATGTAACATGACATCAACAAATAACTGCTGCCGTACCAGATATCAAGCTTAATTGTAACTATTTTGTCTCCGTACTCTTTGTCAGAGCGTCACATTTTTAGTGTTTACGTCGTGCATATCTAAATATAGAACGACAAAAATAATTTTATGGCATATTTACACACACTTTCGGTCCTTCTATGTTCAATATGAAAATGCGGGTATTTTAAGAATTAGAAACAACACACATGGTAAATGATTGTTCAATGTGTGCCTTCACACGCAATTTTGACGGAAGAGAACATAATATCTTTGTATGACAGATATTTCTGTTTGAAGCACTAGCAACCCAAATTGCAATGTTTTTATTTCAGAGCAGTCAAGCAGCGGGAGGAAGTATAAAAACCGCTTTAAAACACATTTTATTTATCTTTTCTAGATATTTAATCTGTTATAAGTTATTTTTTGTTGGTAATTTTTAAATTTTATTATTCGTCACGTTCAAAGTATTACTATGTTTCAGACACTTATGACGCTTATGAGAGTCAGTTAAATGTAATGACTGAATCACTCGATACTGGAGACAAAAAACCCAGACTACCGCGACCACGACCATTCCGTATTGACTTTGACAGATAAATGTTTCAACTTATCAAATATGAAATGAACATCATTAATAAAATTTTCAACAATAAGCATTCTATGGTTGTAATTTCATTCTCAAATCAAATTCAATAAGAACATAGGAAAAGCGGAGAAGTAGATAAATATGCATCTCATAACATTAAAATTTGTAGCAATGTTTAGCTATTTTAGCATGACTAATTTTATCATTGTATTTATCAGACGTACTATAGATCAAAATCATGACACCCATATGATTCATTTCTATATAACATGATGGATGAATCTATTGAATGTAGAATAATAACTTCAAATGCCCGTATTTGAACTTGGAGCGATACAAACTTCTATCAAAGAAAAAAACGAAGAGACAAAATATAAACCAAAATTACACTCAGCTCACTTAAAAAGCCAAAAAACAACTTTAAGTTATATATACACGAAACATAACGAACATAACTATGCTTAGTTAATGTCCAAACGTGTATAAAGAAGAATGCATGAAAAAAAGGTAAAAGAGCGGAAAAAAGGATTGTATCGAACTTTTCTGCAAGATATTACAAAATTTGTTTACCAGTAATTATATACGCTGAACAAAGATATAAGCATTTAAAACCTACCCAAGGTTTATGAAATGTTTAATATGTAATGCCCCAGAAAGAGTACACAGCACGAACCTTTGAGAGTTCAGTCAATTCATCTTGGTCAGAAAGAAACAACATCTAAACCAAACAATCTCAAACAAGTAACAGTTAGTGCAAAAATAGCAGCAAGAAATTAAGAATATAAGGTTTGAAAGCTTATTCCTTTTGAATTCTATTTATTTTTCTGTGTAAATTGAATTAATTTAATCATGGCCATTGGTACCAAGGAAGGAGAATAAAAGTTATTTACGTAATAGTTATAGTATATGAAACGAGTTAGTTATGAGGGTATAACACTGGCTGGGGCGACATCAAGGGGTGTTTCTGCTAAAAAATGGCGAGGCCGTTAGGCCGAGACATTTTTTTTTGCAGAAACATCCCGAGATGTCGCCCCAGCCAGTGTTATACCCCCGTAACTAACGAGTTTCATATACTATAACTGTTTTATCGCAATGGCATAATGTTTTCTTTTTTGTATAGAAACAAATAAATAAATTAATCGTTAGCTACATTACAGTTATTTATCATAAGGCAGTTTTTCAAGTTGTTTTCGCTGCCAAAAAAAAATATACAAAAGACATCCAATATACGAGGCGGATTGTATACTGTTACCAAGATTGATTTAAGATTAAAGGGCTTTTTTCACTTCATTAATTATCTTTGTTTATATTTTTCATTGTATTTATATATTTATTTTATTTATTTTATTGATTTCATTTTTTATTATTTTATGGGTTTTTTTTTACTACTGGGAATGGTCGTTACCACTGCCCCATTGGAGCCTCTATGAAAAAACTGTATTGATATATACAAGGTGCGAAAAAAACTAGACCGATATATAACAGTACAGTTTTTTTCCTATATGAATCAATGATAAAACTGTACTGTTATAATTATATCAATACAGTTTTGAAATGCTCATTGAAGTGTACTGAGTATAATGGGTTGGAAAGAACAAAGGAAAAGCTCACAGCCATGCGATAAATAAGCTATGTAGAACCATCTTAGAAAATTGAAGCGTTAATAAAATAAAAAAAAAAAAATGAAAAAAAAAACACAATTCATGTGAAAGATGACTAAAATGTCTATTTCAAAATGCCCCTTTCATAAAGTTTTCAAAAAGACATCCGAAAGCTATCAAAGAGTACGCATCGCATGTCAATATAAAGATAGTATATTTTGACTGCCCTGTACGTCCTCAAAGTAATACTATTATAATATCAAAGCATATTACAAGCAGAATATAGAATATCAAAACGTATTTACATCAATACTTTAAACATCAATGAACACAACAGTTTTGTTAGTAAAATTTTTACTTTTAAGTAATCATTCAAACTTGAAATGGAATAAAACTAACAATCATGGTTATGACGTATCAAAACATAAGGCAGCTTCTCTAAACACTACGGATGTAACCATATTTGTTGCAATTTAATCCATTGTAACATGTTATGATTATTTTGTATAAATGAGAAGGCTTTTTTTAAAGTCATCATGTAAATGGCAAACAAACATAATATTTCCAAAAATTAATTAACTGTTTGAAAGTGTGACGGTTATTTAACATATTCCAAATTATTATTTTGCATTATGCGCTTGAGTTGAATATGACTCTGTGATGAATAAAACTAGTGTTGTATTCATTCTGGCCTGGATAAATGTCGAGGTCATGAGGATGGCTAGTCACTGTATGCTGAAATAATTGAGTAAGAAGTATATCCACTTCCATTATTGACAAGCTCTACCCTTTATACTCATTTGACTCAATAAAGGTCAGAAAAATCGACATTTAACCTTATTTGCTAAGTGTACAGTGACATTATTTCATCAAATTAGCACTAAGAAAGATTGCTAAATATCAAAATTGCTTCACAGATATTAGTCTATACTAACTTACCCCTGTAATCACATTTTCTTGATATGGTATTGATCTAAAAATATCAAAAATTTTGACAAAATATTTTTAATCGCTAAAAGAAATTCGTTTAATTTTGGACCAAAAAGGGGAAAACATTAAATATTAAATTATTAAAACACAAGCTTTTTCTGTTAACCTTTTAAAGGGAAATTGGAAGGTGTTTAGACAACATTTAAAACTGTAAAAGGTTTTTAACAAAACAACACAGGACTTATTTTTTTATTTCATTTAACTTTTTCTTTTTTCGTTCTTTACACTAAATTTTTTTTTTAAAATTCATTTATTGACGGGGTATCATTGCATTATAAGCCTTCTTTGAGGAACATTCTCAATATAGAACCATTAACGTATTTTCTTCCCCTTTTAACATCGTAAAAATTGAAAGGGGAACTTAAAAAAAAAGTCTGAGAAAACTTTTGTCAATTCATTTGCATTCAAACATGCATTGTTCATGTTAAATTTCAATGCAAAGTAGGATTTATTCGTGAATATATCTATTATAAAACTATTTCGCTCATGGAATAAGCGCAAGTGTCTTCAGTAAAAGACTCGATTAAAATTCAACAATGCAGATATGCAAATGTGAAGTACATGCAAAATTGTCCCGAAATTTCAACGATCTTTTCCATTGTAGGATTGTTAATGTTTAAAATCATCGTTAAAACGAGCCGGACATGTTTTGTATAAGCATAACTCTATCGACCCAGTAATTGTTCTTCAGTAAGGTTTAAACCTTAAACCCGCTGAGTGTCTACAATCGATCATCTACCCTGGTTTGAATTTGGCAGACCATTGAAAGTTTAAAGAATTTCAATATTTCAATACCCACCCACCCCAAAATAATGATGATGATGATGATGATGATGATGATGATGATAATGATTATGAGGATGATGTTGGTGATGATGATGATAATAATATTATACAAAGACAAAACAAAACAACATTATATGAAAGGAGTACTGACAATACCACCACTTAAAAGTATGCCTAAAATGTATGAAGACAATATAGTGTTTTTGTGTGTGTTTTTTTTTGTAGTATACACTAACCAACAAAAATGAATTCAATCCGCTGTAAATAGAGTCAAAGTTTATGTAAGTATGCAATTGTATATTTCTCAATTAATTCCATTTGTCTATAAATACGAAAAGCTTCTTCCTTTCTTCTCTAACATCCAATCAGACTGCGGCCTGTTACCTAGTCCGTGTCAAATAGACGCTTATAAATGCATTACAAACATGTTCTGTGGTAGCATTTTACAATATTAATGTTAAATGTTATGCTAAAATATACACATTTCCATTCAATGGGAAAAGTGAAAGCGTTTTCAAACGGTATATCGCGTGTTTGAGGTTGAAAAATGGTGATATAATAACTCTTATTTCAGATATATTCTGACACATAACAGATTTGAAACTTGTATTTCTACATTTCAAGTAGTCCTTTTTTAGCTAGTCGTCAAATTAAATATATTTTTTTTACTAAATATAAATGCATTTTTATTTTTCTCATATCTAAGAACATATGTAACAATTGTTTAAGTATTACACAATTTTATTTAATTTACATATATAATTTGACAATTTAATAATTTCCTTTACTTTATTTACAAACACAATTACACATGTACACGAAAATAAATAATTAACACATTAAGCAACTTTACTGATCTTATGTATGTGTCTTTGTTCCGTTTACTATTTTCTGTTTGGCCGGACGTGAATGATTTTGTTATCTGTATCTTTTATTTTGCTAAGTTGTTAGCTGTCCTGAAATGTTCTGTTGTTGCGTGTTTTGTTTGTTCTTCTGTTTTCGGTCCACGGTTTATGTTCTATTGTTCTGTTGTATGTGTCTTGTTGTCCTTTTTCTATTATTCTGTTTTATGTGTCTTGTTGTCTTTTATCTATCGTTCTGTTTTTTATGTTTCTTGTTGACATATTTTTTTCTATTGTTCTGTTTTTTATGTGTTCTGTTTTGTTCTGTTTTATGTGTCTTGTTGTCTTTTTTCTGCTGTTCTGATTTCTGTTTTTATGTGTCTTGTTAATTTTTTTTCTATTGTTCTGTTTTATGTGCCTTATGGTCTTTTATGTAGTGTTCTGTTTTATGTGTTTTGTTGACTTTTTTCTGTTGTTTTGTCCGTTATGTATCTTGTTACCTTTTTCTCTGTTGTTCTGTTCGTTATGTATCTTGTTGCCTTTTGTTCGTTATGTGTCTTATTGCCTTTTTCTCTGTTGTTCTGTTTTATGTGTCTTGTTGTATTTTTTCTATTGTTTTGTTTTTTATGTGTCTCCTTGACTTTTTTTCTATTGTTCTGTTTTTTGTGTCTTGTTGTCTTTTCTTGTTGTTCTTCTGTTATTAACCGCCTCCGTGGTCGAGGGGTTAGAGTCGATGACTTCTAATCCAGTTACCTCTCTGGCGTGGGTTCGATCCCCGGGAGATGCTTTGGTAGTTTAGCGCGGAGGAAGGTTGTCTAGTACTGGTGTAACTCTCCAGGAATGATGGTTAGGAAACTACCTGCCTATATGACTGAAATACTGTTGGGAAAAGGCGTGAAATCAAACAAACAAACAAACAAACAAATTCTTCTGTTATCGGTCCGTCTTTTCTTTCCGTTAAATATTTATCTGTTGTATGCTCAATTAAGTGTTAACTTATTCTGTTGTTGCGTATCCCGTTAGTCCTTAGTTCCGTTAGTTATCGGTACTCCTGGTCCGGTAAATTTCCTCTTGTCTGTATCTTTGATGCCCTTGTGTCTTTAAATCTTTTTGTCTGTTCCGTTTCGTGTCTTGTCGTCCTTTCAATGGCTTGTAGGATGCTCCGTTAAGTATTTGTTGTTATCTGCCTGGTTACGCCCTTTTTGTATCGCTTTTGCTGTCTGTTCCGTTATATTTCTTCTCCTCTATTCCGTAAGGTCTTTTGAGTTGAATTCTGGTCAGTTTCGTCTGTTTCTGTATTTTTCAACTGTTTAGTCTCTGTTTGAGTGTTCTATACGTTTAGTTATATGTTTTTGTCATTTCTGTAGTCATTTCACTTCAGTGGAGTAGCGGGGGATCGAACTCACGACCCCTTGATTGGTAGACAAACAGTGTTATCCCTACACCATAGCGCCCGCTCTGAATAATAACTATTTTTGAAAGTACTATATACATTATTACTTCAGTGGCTAACAATAAATGTATTGCAATTAAATATTAACACCTCTACTTAGATAGCCAACCCACGTGACTTTTAATATATGCCAAAGAGAGTATTACACGATTTAAGTAATATTTTTAATGACAACTTTGCTGTTACTATATTAAGATACCCTTGAAATTTATTGGAGGGTACCCGGAATTCTCAGGTAAATCAGATGGTGTGATAATCTTCTTGTAGTGTTTCCTAAAACCGAGACTGAATTCCAAACTTTTCAATTTTTATAGTATCGCAAGCACACGTACCAATCTCACAATTTCAGAAATTTAAAGCGAATAAACGGGGTTTTTTTTGGCTTAATAAAACGTTTTAAGTTCCATGAGAAACTAGTCATTGAATTCATTTGATGTTATGATCGTTAACACTAAACTATAGATTAAAGCACTGAATGAGACGGCTTAACTTGGGTTTTAATACACAAATTAAACAAATAAAAGGACGCGACATGTCATTGCGTCATATTTATATAGTGTCTTCTACATCTCTGCAGTTATGTAATTTAAAGGCTCCCTGAAGGTGTTGTATTTTATGTTGTAATGTTAGATCGGAATTAACCTTTTCATACAAAAATTGGCATATTATGCACAAATTCTGTTTAATAACCTGAATGTTTACACTGTACAACTTTAACACTTCCCAATTCCCGTTATTCAAATACTGTGCTCGTTGACATGCTGCTGGCTTTAAACAATGGCGCATGCCACTGAACATCGAGTAAAATTTACCTTATTACAAACTATCTTATATACACCGCATATTTCTTCTATGACGTAAAAAAAGTGAATGCTTCATAGTTCCTTGCAGATCAACTTGAAACTTTGTAGGTGATTAGGTCTTCTTATAGAGGCATGCAACTCAGCGGAATGATGAACACTATTGAGGGGAATATCCGCCAAAAGTATATGTATCTTGATAACATGTTCATTTCTGAATGTAAGAAGCCATATGTGTTGATTGCATTCTTATTTATACATATTAAATTTGTCCATCTTCTATGTATATATCTTTTTACACTACGATATTTTCATAGTAACGGATGTTTCATTTCACGTACGCGCATTCTGTAAAAGACTATATTTTATCTGTACTGAACATCTTCATAAACAATTGAATGAAATGTTAAATATTAACAATTGGTTTAGAATATTTAATTTGATAAATAACCAGTAAAGGTCTACGAAAGTTTTCTAGTGCATTATTAAAGCACTGAACTTCTTAATAAGAGGTCGTAAATGCGAAATTAATGGGAAACAGTTACTTCGGGATAACTTGAAGCGGTTAGTACGTATAATGTAAATTGATGTTTATAACAGATATACAAACATGTAGAGTACCTGGGACCAAATTAAGTCCTCTGTTTAAGATATCATTAGGCGACCTTTTCATCAGTAAATTAAATTGAACAAGCAGTGTGTTAAAGATACAATTTTATTACCCCTGTATTACATGTCCATTAGGCAGTGGTTAGCCGTACAGGCCCGTATTGCTAGCCTAAACCTTAAGATTGTTTTATCGCTTTATTTGCATATAATTATAACAAAAGTTCTAGTAAATTATTATTATTATTATTATTATCAAATTACTGTTACTTATAAGTTTTTTTGTTTTGTTTTTTGGTATTTCTTTTTTGTTTTGCCGTATAGAAATATGACAACCTCATTAGACTAATACAAACGCATTTTGGTGCGATATATCCTCATTAGACTCAACAAGAAAGTGATTTATGTTTTATATCATGATGCCTACTATACATTGCGTCGTTAAGCCATACAACCAACCAACCGACCAACCAAACAAACTACATGTATACATTCATAGTTTAACGTTTCAAATGTCGGATAGTTTGTTGGTGACGTACAAGAATAATTACTCAAAAGCATAAAAAACGCGTCTATCACATAACTTTAGCAATGATTCCCTATAAATAAGGATGTTTGTACACAGCCGGTGTTATTAGATGGCAATCTCTCATAACTATCACAAAATTATCTTTGTGATGTTTTTTCACCTGTATTCCAAAAATCTTATTTATACAACAGCAGTTGTTAACTGATGTAAAACAGCTGTCCAGGACTGCATCTCAGCGTAAATATATTGTTCTGGGTCCTTCGGGAACATTGATGCTAGGACTAATATTGTTAAATATGATAACTGCTTAAACCGGTGCTAGGGACCATAAAATAGATGTAAATCCCTTCATTATCTTTTGGTTGCATTTGTCATTAAGTTTTAGTAGACTCAGTCAAAGCTAGTCTGCATTTTTTGTTTTCTTTTTTCTAGAATCTCCACTATAAGTTCACAGGAAATGCTATTAATAGATAAAGTAAACTGTTCACCGAGACCAATGATTTAATGTAATGTTAGGAATGTAAATATGTTAACGTTATATTATTATAATATTATATTATAATACTTACGAAATACGTGTTTCTTTCATATCGTACTTGAAATGTTTTGTTGTTAAAAAAACTTAAGTAATTTGATCAGTTCAGTGAGTTTATTACAGTTAAACTCGGTAAATGTCACAATAAAAACAAGAAATTGTAATATATAAGGTATGATAAATTTAATATATTTAATATTTGTACAACGCAAACATGAAAGATCAGAATTAAACAATAATAAGTAATAACAAGTTGTTGGATTTATGAGTATTAACAATGATATGATGATGTTATATAACAACACAAAGCGGAAATACATTATTGATGTACATTTTCCCATTAACTGCACATCACTAGCTAAACCACAATGAATTGTATCTTGTATCTATATAGGTAGGTTATTTTCACTCTTTCACATCTTAGTAATTACAAATAATGCATTGGATACACCTATCACTAAATACTAGTATTCGGACGCAAATATAAGCACATGTTCGCTTGTCCGTCTGAATAACGCATACTGAATCATTAACTAGTATCAAACTCTAAAATTATCTTGATTATATGTGAATATATAATCTTGTTTAAACTAACAACATCGAAAACTATAATACAGAATGGTCCAGCTCGAAACATATTCAAAATATCATTTATTTGATGATAAAGCAAGTGTAAATACTTACTGAAATTACGTAATGATATTTCTTTGGTAACATGTACATGTATATACATGAATATATATTAAAACATAACAATATCAGGTAATGACATGTTCAAGTGACAAACATCTAGTTGTATATAAATGCAGTTAACAACAAAATTGCATTGTACCTATTTGTTTCACTGTCACGCCAAAACTCTCAGTCATATCTCAGAAAAACGGATTGACAGAGCATGTAGGCGTGGATGAATTTATTCAATTAAACGAAAATAGAATACAATTAAATGAAATATAAATTAATGGTATAATATATATTACATGTATGAGGTAATGATTTACGCGAGTATAATGTATATAGAACGCTTTATTTAGCTTGTAAAAGATACTCAGAATTTTAAAAGATAGTATTAATTGAAAATTGAGTACCGCTTGAGAATTTATTCATAATTTCATGGCCATCTTTATCATGTCGTTGACCCCCATGCCTTTAACCTATTCCATGATCAAATAAATAATAGGTAGTTTACTTCCTCTTTGTGCCAAAATGATATACATACCTCACAGATACAAAACTAGTAAAGAAATACCAATGCATATATTATTCTAATCAAATTATAGTTATGGTTTCTTATCAATTGAATTTGTGAATGAAAATTTATTCCTATATGTATACATTTTGGAAATTTCCATCCAACTAGACAAAAGTTATTCTTAATCAAAAATGCTCGTATACAGGTATGATGTTGCAAAATCATGAGCAAGGCGATTTTAACACATATCTGTGGTCATATCAGGGCTGTCGTTCCCCCTAACCGGCTTTTTGAATAACTACCCAGTAAGCAATAATTTCTGGGCAAGAGAAGAATGCATGGTAAGGAACAATGATGTACCACAACGGTCGAGTAATAATATAATCACTTACATAGTTACATATTGTCCAAGACACATGATCACTTTGGTTACTGAAAAAAGTCTATAGCACACATACACATTACATACAATATTGTCACCTGGAGGTGACTTATTGGAATTGTAATATTACCACATTTGTTCTATACCGATGAGTATTTTACATTGTTATTAACAGACATACTCAAAGATAGAATAATAGATATATAATGCCTATAATGCATGGAAAAATATTATAATGAAAATAAACATCTATCGTAGTAAACATTTGTTCTAGCTCTCGACTGTTACCTACAGTTCCATGAAACATTCACACTGTCCATTACGCATATTACTGTTAGTATATGTCTATTTACAGACTATATGCCATTTGCCCTAGTTAAACTGTACATTTCAGATACCGAATACATCTTTTAGTTAAAGATACTATTCTTTATGTCAACACTCAGAGTTGCTAAGTGCATTCACACGCAAACATTGATGGTCTAATTGAAGCAGTTCATAACAACTTAGCTACACTGCAAACCAACTGATGTCCCTTCTCCTGTACCTCCAAGTTAAGTGTTATACAGCAAACATATCTGGTACTACTTTGTCTATGTTCACTATATCAAGGATAACCCACTCCATTTATGTCATGCGTCCTCGAATTTATCAAATTTATTTACTCATATCGGATTGTTTGTTATATAGGTTACTGTATCCCCAAACAGTGATTATCTACATATTTATTATAAATAACTTAGGCCTGTTGTGTTCCGTATCCAGTCCAAGTAACCAGGAAGGTTTGTGTATACACCAGGAACATTGGGGTACGCACAGGCAACACCCCATGACACAATTCCAGCTTCATACCACGTATCTTTTGATTTATCTAAGCTGCAAAGCAGTGGTCCACCAGAATCCCCCTAAAATGAACAATACACTTTGTAACGATTTATTTTGCTTAGTTGTGTTGTTTTGTTCTAACTATACACTATTAATCACTACATCGTAATGGGATGTCGTTTCTATTCTTATACTGTTTCTAGAAAAAAATATAACACAATATAGTTTGAATGGAACGATTTATTTTGCTTAATTGTCTTGTAATGTTTCTATCTATATACTATTAATCACTACATCGTAAGAGGGAAAACATTTCTATTCGCATACTGTTTCAAACAAAATCATTTCTTTAACATTAATTTTTTTCTAATAGTTATATCAAACAAAACTGTCCTTCTGTTTATCGGTGGAGAAGAAATTTGATAATATACATGTATCCCGTTTTATTCGAAGATATAAAATTGCATAAAAAAATTCCAATTGTCATAAAATTATATCATTTAGCATTGATTTCCGTAGAAAATTGTTTAGTATTGCATTATGTCGGTCTGATTACATTCAAGGCATTCTAGTTGCCTACAATCAGTGAATTTTGGAATTTATAGCATTGCATAACTATTGCAACTTCACAATTTTGTAGGTATAACTTACAGCACAAGAATCATGCCCGAGTCCTCCTCCTGCACAAAACATATGATCGGTGAGCTGATATGGCACCTGGATTTCGGCATTTTCTATGGCATGCTTGCATTTTTTCCAGTCTGTAACTTCCAAGTTTACTTGACGAATTTGTCGCTCGTAATCAGGTGCTTCAGATTGAATTGAAGATTAAATGATTTTATTACGGGGTTGCAGTATTGAAAATATGTAAAAAATTAATTTGGATCTTTATGTGGAAAAAGATAAGAAATTTTATTTTCAATGCATAAGATCATATATACGAGAATAAGGTCCATTCCAACATTTATAGAAATGAATGTATCATCAAATCTTAAAAATATCTGTTACAAAGTATCTTCCAGTCAAGCAACAAAACGAAAGCAAGATTCTTTGTTCTTTTGTCATAATTTTGTTCTTACTTTGTTGTACAAAAATGTATTTCCAATTATGCATTTTTTGTACTGTAATGTCCTGTTAACCAGTATGAAGATATTAGTCATAAATATTGCCTTCGTCTATTTTTATGACTGACTTGCGACAACTTTATATATACACATTTTTGCAAAAGTCACTAACATATGAGACAAATTTATAAATTATACCTCTGTCTCCCTGTCTTCCCCAACCTATAACAGTACATCTTGTGCCGACTGGCAATCTCTTAGCCGTCTTAGGTAGACATATTGGTCTCACGTGATCATTATAAAGCACCTTTTCTTTCAGACGAATTAATGCAATATCGTTATCGACTGTATGGGAATTGTATAACTTATGTACAAACAAATTTGCCGGATGAAATTCTTGCAAATATGGGGAATAGGTGTCTCGGCGAGGCTGTCCAGCTCTAATTAATAATTCATTAGGGTTCTGGAGTCTGAAAATATGCATGAATAAATAAATATATCCACTAAGCCTTTGTAAAGGTCGAATAATTTTTGTCTTTCATTTAGTGTTTCTTTAGTAAGTAATCATGTTTGTGTTTAAAATAAAAATGAACAACTTTCTCTCTCTACCATACAGAATGTTGCATCTCTGTCATACATTTAATGAGAATGATTTGTCCAAATGCATTTTGATATGATTTTTTCAAATACTTATACAACAAAAGTATCAAAATGAATAAATTCTTTTTCATATTTATTTCGTGTTGGTTTAAACAGCATTTAGTTTGGTTCGATTGTGTAGTAAGATTATAGCTAATAGACACACTATCGAATTCGTCCCTGGAACCAACCAAATATTGAGCGATGAGTGTAAAGATTCTTGCTCAATTAAACAACGACTCGTACCTCACAGGATTTAAACCCACGCAGATCTTTAGATAACTAGTCTGACGCGTTAACAGCACTTATATGGTATAATGACTTGATAGTAATAATGTTACAGTTGTGTGCAAAAGAGTGATAGAAAAGAAATGACACTCATGGATCTCGAATTTGAAAGCAAAGAAAAGCAGGGAGAGGAGTACTCCATGGGGCACACCACTTTGACCATTTTTCAAGCATTTACTTTTCAACTTTTTAGGTAAGAAATTTAAGACCAATTCTTTATTGCGTCTAAAGTATTGTTTTGCTCAACTGAATTTACTGTAATAATTTTAAAAGACTTTGCCGAACTTGCTAAGACTGCGGACTTCCTCCACCAGTAAAGCTGGAACGTCGCCATATGACCTATAATGTGTCGGTGTGACGTAAATCAACAATTATAATAAATTTGTCATTACCCTCCAATACAATGTGCGGCCGTGAGTACCCAATTCTCTGCAATGATTGTTCCTCCACAGAAGTACCTATGGTCAGCCCCACCGAATATTGCCACCTGCCATGGAAATGCATTCGGGTCTGCAATAGCACCACCGACAACACGGAGGGATTGGTGTATGTAGGCCGGTCTAGTTCCACACACTGGTAATACAGAAAATATATTATAAATTATACTATCTCAACAATAGGGTGTTAGATTCTGTGTAAACGTTGTAAAAACTACCTCGTTTGTCATCTCGGAGGAGTTGTTTTTATTAGAATATATTATTGTATTCAACAATGAATATTGTTCAAGCGGTGTTAGAGGCATGTTGTACCTTTTATTATCCGTAATGGACTGACATATTTAAACCTATTCTGCAATTTTGTAACTGTTTAAGATTGTTTTCATTCAAGAATGAATATTGCTTAAGGAGTGCTAAAGGCATGGAGCATCTTTTATTATCTCCAATGGCCTGACTTTACTTTATTAAAAAGAAATCTTAAAATTTAATTTAAAAGACAAGGCTGCCTGTATATCAACCGACATGCAAAGAATATTACGTACCAGGTAACCCGCATGAAATTGAAACAACAGTACCTCCAACACAAGTGTTACTGTAATAAACAATGTTTAATTGAATTAATCTTAAAATGTACTTCTTCAATCGTGTAGAATAATTCTAAGATTCTATATTTACAAGGGTCGTCATCATATTATCTGAAGTTTCGTAATTGCCTTACATTTATATTAGGAAAATTTTGATGAATTAGCTGGAAAAAAATAGATATTGTTATTTACGGGAGGCAGTGTTCTTTTTTAATCTAAAGTAATTAAATGAAGAATTCATTTTATTTCATTTCTTATCGATAAAGCTGTATTTGATATTTTGATAACACTCTTTTATGTACTTACGTCAGTTTAAGTTGTGACCCGATGTACTCTGGCTTGGACCCGTTTCTTGCCGATGTTAGGCTAAAGTACCCATTCGATACTGAATTTACATACTTTTGAGAAGTACTGAAATAAAACGTTGTAATAATATTCACTTTATCTTACATATTTCTATATCAATGTCAAAGGCAAGCGAATCCTAATAAATTGTTAAATATCAACTTAATTTCGACGATATTGTAATAATGCCAGATCATCTGTGACGTCATTATTTGAAGAATCACAACAAGGAAACAAAATTTTAGCTCCCACACATGCTACCAGGGTCCGTAATCCTTAATAATGCTTATTCCATAACACTAGTTGATTCCTTATCATGTCTGAAGATGAAAAATTGAGCTTTTTCTAAGGAGTGTTTAAACACCATAAACTGTTTTCGTTTGTTTAACGATGTGAAAAAAAGATAAAATTGTATGATGTAAGAAATGGCCTATAAATATTTAATTTGCAATCAACTTGTCACTCTTAAATTAGGGCTTTGATTCATTTTGAAGTACAATAATACTCGTAAACATAAAAATAGTATAAATGAGCCAAATGGAGAGAAACAAAATCAAAAAAAAATGACTCACATTTGTTTTGGTTTTAAATATTTAGAAAATACAGTTTTATTCGTACAAAAAGTACGAATGCAAATCTTCACTGCAAGATGGTGATATATGTACAGTATCATTGCGTGATTCTGTAAGTTACAATACAAAACAATTTTTTTAAGTAGCAAGCTTTACTAAATTTCATATAAATGTTCACTTTTTATGCAAGGTTTATATTTTTAAGTTAGTATTTTAATTGTACATTTTGTAGCATTTATTACACTCTCACTAAAGGAGGATTGGCAACATTTGCATTTATTGTCAGTTTCTGTCTCAGACTTGATCAAGTCACTTTATTGGCGGTAGTTTATGCGAGCCGTAAGTGCAGGAGGCTTTCTAAAGCCACTTTATTTGTAAATCATCAATGATTTTACTACTAAGATCACTTTCTGAATTTTTACAAAAATGACATGTATCTGGTGGTATACTTCTTTTGAATAACTTGTGATGTTTTTCTTGTTTTCCAATCCAGTCTGAATTACATTGTTATGCATTGTTTGTAAATGTCATCTTATGTACAATTTATTGAATAAATAAAGTTAAAACTAAACATGAAAATGGTGAAATTTGGATTGAGAAACATCCGCAGATGTGTTCATACGGCTGTTATTATGGAACCTCCAATGTGACACGGTCGTGTCATACAATGAAAAGCGGGTTATGGTCCCCAAGTAAAGAAATGCCTGAACGAGAAAACAAGGGGCGGAACTGAATAAAATGGAGCTTTGAAAGGGTGATCAGAGGTTATGAAGCCTGCATATCAATACCTGTCAATGTATCCCATTTGTGAACAAACGATGTCAGATTTGTCCTTTGTCCAACCAATACTGCAAATGGGAATCTGATCGTTGGCTGATGAACTGTACATTGTCACAATTCCTTGTCTGCCACCATCATCTAGTTTCACTTTAAAGATAATTTTTGTATCAGACAAACATAAATTATAAAATATCTGTGAGATTTTCTTATTCAGTTTATCAATGAATTTTATCTGAGGTTTGTTCATTCCATGTAATTTTAAAAAAAAAGAAATAACTTAAAAAAGGCACATTAGGTCTGAAAGTAAATTTATATTTTACTTAAAAAACGTCTTTACTTTGGTGCCATGTTATAGTTTCTATAGCAGATCTCATTGGCTATAAATCTATGTCATCTTTTGCTTTCTTTGCTGTTTGACAACTAGTAGCGTTATAGTGAATTAGTATTTTGAATGGATGTCAAAATACTGCTTTGTTTACATTTTGTACTATTTATGACAAATTTAATTAACTTACAGCACTTCTCTCATCAGGTGATAAATTGCAAACATGCTTAAAATCTATTCTTACAATATAACTGAACAAAATTCTCCCGTTTTAGAAAACAATATTTCTATTCATTTCTGAAAAATAATGTGCCTATAAGATGTTCGACAAATATTGTAAATAGCAACTCACGACATCCCCTTTCATCAGATGCTGTTGGACAATCTTCAACACCATCACATCGGCTGCTTGACTCAATGCAGATTGCTGACTCATACGAGCATCTGAACATTCCGGCTGGACAATTTACTGAAAAATTAATATTCGATCCTTTATGAATACTTAACAAACAAACAAACAAACAAACAACAATAAGAAAAGAAACCAACAAAATAGGTATCGCAATTAATTACACATGTAACTATTTTTCCTAAAGTTTATATCATATTTCAATATAAACTTAATTTTCTGCAGGCATGAATGTTCAAATTGGCATGCTTTAGCGTCACATTCATGGCATTTTTAAATTTCAAATTGATTACAATTAATAATTAATCTTGAAACACAGATTTTGTTGACAACTCTGTGATTACCAAGAAGTCTTATTTTGATTGCTAAGGATTGGAAGAAAAACTATTACAGACCACATTTCCTCAGTGGAAGCGTTGTTTGTATGGACTTTTCATCGGAACCATCTTGGCAGTCAGGAAAACCATCGCATTTCCATGCGTATGGTATACATCTTGTATTGTCACATCTGTCCTCTCCAGCAGGGCATTCTGTAAAACAAGGGTCTAATTAGTTTGTACACACAATTCTTCACATAGTATGTTGTCAACGTATATGATCTTTTTAAATCATATGAAGTTGTATTGATTCATAATTAAAACAATAAAATAGATAGTAAAGAATATAGTTACAATTAACAGCATTGTCAAACATCAGGTTTTCTGCAAACCTTCTAAATCTAGAGGAATAGTTGCTAGATTACCTTCAATAGTAGGAGGTTCATGTGCAGTTTTGTAGCCTAGACATATGTTTGGATCGTCTACATCAGGGAAGCTGTCACAGTATAGTTCTTTAGGCCAGGGATACCAGAAAATGTCCATGAATATTGAACAACGGGACTTAAATGCTGAAATTGAGGCATAAATAACAAACATTTTTTCTCGATGATATACACAAATATTATATATAACATTTTAGTATCTTTATCCCATTGTAAAGCTTCTAAAAACGTTAGTTAATTCATAAATATTACTGGTCATGATAGTTTGACTACTTCAATAATGCGACATTGACTTCGACACTGTACATTTAACAATATATTTATGTGCTGCTTTTAGAAATGAGCCGCGCCATGACAAAACCAACATAGTGCGTTTGCGACCAGCTTGGATCCAGACCAGCCTGCGCATCCGCGCAGTCTGATCAGGATCCATGCTGTTCGCTTACAAACCCTATAACAAGTAGTGAAACTGATAGCGAACAGCATGGATCCTGATCAGACTGCGCGGGCTGGTCTGGATCCATGCTGGTCGCAAACCCATTATGTTGGCTTTGCCGTGACGCGGCTCAAATTATCCTAGAAACATTCAGTTTTAAATGAAAAAAAACCCTTAAATTTTGATACTCGATCTGTATTAACAATTGACGTTTCATATGATTGTTTGTGTTATCTTTCTGCATTTTTCACATTTTTACATACCGTTGCATAGACTTCTGCACGGAGGAATGGCATGATATGGAACTAAGCCTGTGCCAGAACACTTTGGCATCAGTGATGTACAAGCAAACAACAGGTGATATTTGTAACATTTTGTTGCGCCACCTATCATTTCCATTAAGTGTATCAACTCTTGGGCTTGGTATGGACTTCTCATTCCAGCAAAGTTGGGAAACGCAACTTTGTTATACCCAAGGTCCTGACATCTTGTCTCATTGTTTGTAAAACATTTTCCCGCTGAAATATTTTTATGAGAACCATATTATATAATTTTATAGATTATATTATATTTTATGATTGATATCTGCAAACCTTTTCCAAATGCATCTTAGGTATTTTATGCTGTTAAAGTGTATAACATTTTTAAACGAAATTTGCGTTTAATTGAGAAATCTTTATAACTGACGAATATTTACAAGTACGAGGAATGTTTTTTTTTAAAGAAGTAAATATTGTTAACTGTATAAATAAAATGTTTAAAGTGTTTCTAGCCTGAAGCCCTTACAACCCACATAAATCTAAAATGACAATGACAAAATATCCAGACATTTTTCTATTTCCGTTAGTAACTTGTTAGAAAAGTTGATGATAAAAATGGAAAATATTCTACAATATTTTGCATTTCATCGGCTTTTGGAATATTTATACATTTCGTCAAATAATTATCTAAAGTATGTTAACTTTAAAGTTAATATGTCTATAATAGAAGATCTCTTATACCATAAATGATTATATTGATAGTATTGAGTATCATCTGTGGAAACAAAGTAAGAAAGAATTATCTATGCATGTTGTTGGGAAGTGTTAGATACATGAGCCTATGAGACATATAAATATATAGCAGATAATAAAGTGTTCTAGAACAAAATATTATGATTTTCAAATATATGTTCGTAATAAATCACTTAAGAGAACTCTATCCATAAATATATTTCAAAAGTGTATCCAAATGATAGATTATTATCAATATTTGAAACGAAACATGTGCCGATTGTAGACCTATCCACATTAAACAAAATTGAGCCGCGCCATGACAAAACCCACATAGTGGGTTTGCGAGCAGCATGGATCCAGACCAGCCTGCGCATCCGCGCAGTCTGATCAGGATCCATGCCGTTCGCTATCAGTTTCTCTACTTGTTATAGGGTCTGTAAGCGAACAGCATGGATCCTGATAAGACTGCGCGGATGCTGGTCGCAAACCCATTACGTTGGTTTTGTCATGACACGGCTCATATATCTTTATTCCCTAAAGGCGTGTCTCTTTTAAAATGATTACGTCTTATTTTGGGTCGTCGTTAGATATATACGTACGTTTGAATGGATCACGAAAACATACATTCGGATCGTCAGAGTCGGGCAGATCATCACAGTTTAGTAAAGAACTAATATTTGATTGAGTGTACATTGCCCCGCAGGAACTAAACACAACTGAAAGAAAAACACGTGCATGTTAAAAACTCACTGGAATACTGGATCAATTCTGAAAAACTAAATGTATTTTGACCTTGTGAAATAAATATAAATAATATTCTGTTGTTTCTTTTTGCATTTAATAGATAAAACTTCGCCCGCGCCCATGCTAATTAGCGTGTTGACATATTAAATTCTCGACTTTTCGCTAGGCGGGGTCGCGGGCGAAAACACGAATGGCACAAATCAGCCACCATGGAGTAAAACAACTTTATTTTTTTTCAATAGTAGAATATGAATGTCCTATAAGAATATAACATAATACATTCCTTTTACCTTTACAGTATGCTCTGCAAGGGGGAACCGTCTTGTTACGTTTGCACTTGGGATTGAAGACTGCGCACCAAAAATCTTTTCCGCAAGATATCTGAAATAATTCTTCATGTGCGGCTTCTGCAGCAGCCTCTTCCACTGGACTTCTATGTCCAAGAAAATTGGGATAACTTGTGAAATCCCAGCTTGAAAAATTCATGCAGTTTGCGGAGGACACCGGAACACATACTCCTAAGAAAACATGTGAAATGATATGTTTTATTTGTGAAATCGTTAATATTTTTCTAAATATTTTCAATAAATGGTTTATTTCATTCGTATGTCTTAAAGAAAAACCAACACACAAGTGTAAAGTTGCAAACATATTGTTCTTTTATATCGTTTAAGCCTAATAAAAACATGTTGATTTTGACTTTAACTTGAATGAAACATGATACGACCTTGTCATAAGTGTAAAGGCAATACAAGACTGTTTGTTTATTTGTTATTTGGTTTAACGGCGCACCCACACAATTAAAGTCTCTTGCGCCGAAACAAGAAAGGTGATTTGGGCCAACCTCGGGTGCGACAAACCCAAAGCAACACTAAGGGTCAAAACCACCTCAAATAATGGTGGCTGCAATTCTGATGCCTCAACCCTCATCCACAAGGGGTGGGCAGCAAGCTTGTACCTCCATGCAATCTGACCAGACATGTAATAATTGGTAGCTCAATTTTTGTATTTTGTTATTGACATTCCTTGAACTATGATTGACCTGTTCCAAATCTAAAGCAGGGCAAATCATGTTCACAAATTTTGCAGGTTTAACTTGAAAGAAATTCTTATCTGAGGAAATGTGAATGTTTCAATTGAATAAACTCTTGTTTTGCATAACAGCCAATTGGTCCATGCTCTTTACCAATGTTCTAAAATGATTGTGTAATAAACCTAGCAGAACAAAAGCATCGCTTAAATCATTCAAATTTATTCATAGCCTTTTTTCTATAACAAGCATCAGCTTATGTAAGACAATCTCACAAACATCCTGCATTGATATTTTAATAAAAAGCTTTCAAGTTAGTTGCAAACAGCGATATGACAAATGTAATGTTTGTAAGGTTGTCAAAATCTCATGGTTACTCTTTTTATGAAGAAAATGCTTTTTCAATATAGATTTTGTAATAACTTCAAAGTAAGCCTTCAAGTTTAATTTTAATGTATTATGTGCAGATCTAAATGTAAACTTTAACTGATTTTTCGAGGTACTCTACAAAATGACCTGACAATTGGGCAGAGTAAATCACTAAAACAATGTTTGTGTCCATAACAAATGTAGCGTTTCCTTACCCGGCTTTGAGGTAGTTATCACAGATAAAGCAGGATCTAAAATAAAGTAAAAAAAAACTATTTAAGATGTCAAAGAAATAATGGTAAATTTACTTTATATAGTCATGGCCCTGCAGTCATTGTTAATATATGTGTTTTGGCAAAGCAGGCATCTTATACTTTATTGAATACATTGACGTCATTCACATGTTTGTCCGAAGCTTGCATTATTCTGTAAAAGCCACCAGTTCAACAAGGCAATGACTGACTATTTAAATGCATGCAATCTTTATGCCGGCTCGCCACGGCGAGCCGGTATTACGTTAGGATTTTACTGAGAAACAACCTAAAACTCCGAATCCATCCAAAAATTTAATCCAAGCCTGGCTTCCAGCTTTCTATAAAAATTTATCTATCAGGGCTAGGATCCAAAATTATTTAGCCAATCAAATTTAATCTTACATAGCGTCAAAAAACCTTCAATTTTCACGCCATATTTAAAAAGCAGCAAGTATTGTTTTGAGCGCAAAGATATTATGATGATTAAAAATGTTTGTTTTCATGAATTCTTTTCAATAAATCATATTAACACTGACTTTTGATTTAGCGATTTCACCTATTCCTCTGTAGTAAGTTTTCGTTTGGTTAATTAACATATCTGTGCATTTTTTTCTTTTTTCTTTTTTCCGGTCATTTTATCTTTTCCGGTATTTAGTGTATGTATTTACTGGCCGGGATCCGGGACGCCCGGACTGGCCGGGATCCGGGATTGTATAAGATGAAGGAAAAAAGATAGAGGAAAAACTTATAAACTATATTTGTGTTGATTATTGTCGTAATGAAGGGCATTAAACGTTAAGTTTTTTTATTGTATGTAATGAACGTTAAATTAATTAAACTTTGGATATAAATATATTTAGAGCTATTTATCAACAAACTTAAAAATCACAATACTTATAATTATATGCCTAATTAATTGGAAAAATCAAAGACTACATTCTTGAATTGGTCAAATCCCGGGATCCCTTTATGTTTTAATGCGATCCCAGCTTTTCTGAAAACTATATTCTTGAACTGGCCAATTCCTTGGATCTCTTTATACTTTAATACGATCCCGGCTTTTCTGAAAACTATATTCTTGAACTGGTCAATTCCCGGATCCCTATATGTTTTAATAGGATCCGGCTTATCTGAAAAACATCTAAGACTGGTTAATTCCGGGATCCCTATATTTTTAATAGGATCCCGTCTTTTCTGGCTGAATTAATTGACAACTTGTGTTTACTTTAGGACTTGTGTCTGTCACTCATTCCAATACTAAATATCATATTACAACTTAACTTCGTATAAAGAGACATCTTTATGAATTCTACCTATCTAACATTTATTTGGTCATGGTCAAAAGGCCATATAGTAAATGTGCATAGACATAGGGACTTCATTCTATCTGTTTACATGCATATTCATATATACTCATATTCCTCTTTGTTAAACTGAGTGAAACTGGCTTCCATAACTTTATGTCACTTTTATTTTGATGTTCGCTGAAGTCTCTTCAGCTAACAGAACTGTCATTTTTACATTTAAACGCACCCCTGGAAAAAAATTACGAAGCGAGTCGCTACTAGCTTTTTTAAAAGCTAACCTTGTATTATATCTACGTTGAAAACAGTTTACATCTAGGCCATGACTATGAATGGAGCATTATGGTATATGAATACGAATATAACTGTCGGTCGATCGTTCAGAGGTAGACGTCATTTGTACTATCTGCTAACATATCAGACAATTTGCTTGCTGATCAATTCTTTAGATACGTTTGAAATCATCTCAGTTGGTGATTTGCATGTAAATAGAAAGTCACATCTAACAAAGATTCTCCTGAAAAGTAGCATTTTTTGACAATATCGGCAACGGCAGTATTTGTCAATGTGGCGATTACAGCGCATTGTTCAGAATGGCGCGCAAATATCCAGACGAGAATATTTCAACACAAATAAGAAAGTAAGTAAAATAGGAAACAAATGTCTCTGTATGATTATGATTATACAAAAGCTGAAGCTTTATGCTGACAACAAAATGCAATATTTTATACAAAATTGTCTGATATAAGGGCATACTACTTCAGGCATAAAGAAAGCATATTTCACAGTTTGCATCGTAATGAATGGAGTAAAACACGAATGCAAATGTAATCGATTTCTGTTGAAATAAATGTAAATCCTGCAATTTTATTATTTGTAGTAGAAATTTAAATCACTAAAAATTGTTTTTAAATTTTCTAGAGTTTCTAGTTTCTAGAGTTCGGATCGTTTTTCTTTGTGCTGAAGTAAATAGCTCACATAACAATATTTTATTCCGTTCAATCTTTAAAGAATATCTTTATGAAAGCTTCATTTGCATAAACCTATGACGAAATAATACAATAATATTGGAAAATTTGATTCCAAAAACATGTATAATATTGGCTTTTGTCCTGCGTTTCTTGTTTGAAATTCATATGACTAATTTTCATGAATCATATTTAAAAAAAACAACAAAGAACACATTAAAAGCATATATACAAATACTGCTATAACACATATATCAATTTGCATACGTTTTTATTACCTTTAAGTTGAAAAGTAACAGATTGTTTGTCAATAATAAACAAACTATCACTCAGGCCTTCTATTAGTAATCCAGCGACGTTTCTAGATGTGGTAGAGTATATATCTATATTTCTACGAAAATGAAGGATGAAGTGTACTAGCACGCTTCCTGAGCTAAAAAAGAGATAAAGAAGAGATAGAAAAGAGATAAAAAAAAAAGAGGTACATACATATCTAAACTTTGTGGGATGCATAATAATGTATCATAAGATATTTTTGCGTGGACAAAATTTCGTAAAATAACCATTTCAGATTAATTGGCGTGGTTGAAAATTTGCGAATTTCTACATCCTGTTCTGTTAATTTTATATGAAACTTAGATATTTTGCACTAAAGTCTTCATTTCGCAAAATAAGCGAAATTTAATCCCTCGCAAAAATTTCTTATCTTAAATTATATAAAATCAAAATCGCTTCAGCTTCTGAAACAATATGACTGAAGATTGCTACATAAATTTAACAATGATTCATTTACCTTTAAAAATAGAAAGACACCAAATTTTATTTTCGTATTTTCATTGATTAAGAAGGTAACATATTGATAATACGCCTGCAATAAAATGCCATGTAAACGGATTTTTTTCTTTCTGTTTTCCATACAGAGCAATATATGATTTTTAGAGTTGAGTTTTTCTAGTTCACAAACAATCTATCTGTGTAAAATTAAAAATACAATCTTGAAAATAAATATTATCTTTATATTACAGTCTAAAGTATTTCGTATATGTAAACACTATATTCAAGTTGCATTATGTAAAAAAATACATACCTTATATCTAAAATTTCAATATGAGAAAATGATGCACCTAGTTCACTATTTGTTAATATGTTATTTATCTGAAATACGAAAAATATAATGTTATACAATATTATGTTTATTTATATGACAATAAAGCAATGCAAATAACAACATGACATGTTTTTGCTTTTATTTTCTTGGCTTTTTTATATATTTATGAAAACGCAAAAATTATATCTTTCAGATACTTAAAATCTCTTTTGGTCCAAGGAAAAAATGCATAAAAATTGGTGCGAGAATACCGGTAAGAGCAGGCTGATTGCATTTTTACGGAAGTTTCTCAAATAACATATTAAAGGACCTCTACTATTCAACAATTACTCCTTTAATTTAAATTAATTGTTCATAAAAGGAAAATAAAAAGCAAAGGTATCTTTATCATGTGGCGTACTACTGTAACGTCGTTGTGCTCTTTTCTTCTGTTCACTTTTGAGCGTTTGTGTATAATATACATTGCGTCTTTCACTCATTTCCGGTTTTGCCGATTTAGAATTATCATCGGTTGGTAACTTTTCATTTTTCACAAGCTGTATTCCAGTTCAAATTAATAAAGGATTAAGAATACGTTTCGTTCTTTATGATTATAAAGTAATATTTAAAAACGTCGTGTTGTGTAAGCATTGATGGTTATCAATCAGTTAAAAGGTTAATAACAGTTGTTATTGTCATCTTACTTCCGTACAGAAGATTAATAGCTTTACCGATTTCATCATTACCAGGTAGTGCTATAAAAATACTTTACAAAACAAAAGCGCTTTTATTGTCGTCTGCAATGTCGTCTGCTATTTAACATCAATATCTAATTACCGGTTTTAACTAAAAATACGGAATTTGCTTTGATATAGTTTTCACATTCCAGCAAACTGACTTTATAACGGAGAAAACATACAAGAATATAAAAGGAGATGTATGTATTCATTGTATAACGTTTTGAATTTTACTTTGACTTACTTTTGTCACAAATATAGAGCCTGGTCAGTGTGCACCTTAGCGCTGTTTTGACCAGAGTGCGTATGTCATCCTTCGATTTTTTTAATTTTACCAAAACATAATTTTAATTTAGTTTAACTTGTCTTAATGCGTCAGTCAGTACCTTTGCAAACATTGCAAAAATACGGTAATGACTAATTACAGGTTGTATAAATAAGTTTTAAATCGTCAAGACCATGATGTTTTATAATTATATTGGTACAAATTATTAAGGGCATTCGCACACGTCATTTTCAGCAAAGTCCAGGATAATACTCAAATCATATGTAATGTGTCTTTCAGAACAAGAGTTCAAGGTTATAAAGAAAATTAGATCTCCAGTATTTAATAGGTCAGAAATCAGCTCAGAATGTACAATGAAAATCTGGAGATTTGAGACAAAAGTCAGAAAAATGTTTTATAACCTCGAGGCCAAATGTTACATTCAAGTAACATTAAATGCTACATAACGCTATATTTAAAGAAAATAGTCCATATAAGTACCTGATATGTGAATGATGATGAAAATAGGGAGTAGGATGTTGATGACTTGTCACTATATTCGTCTTTATAAGAAGAAAAAGGCCCCTGAATAATCCGCAAACTTCCTTCAATGAAATTGGTCTGGAACCAAACAACTGAAATAGTAATAACTCATGATTTAATAACAATACAGGAATTTCTTTTAAAGAATCAGTTTGAAACATCTGAAATAACTCACGCCACAACCACAATGCATGGAAAGGAAATTAAGATTGAAATTTAGAATTTGAGACATACAATTCAAGTTATTCTTGTACGAAGGATAATACTCAGCAACATAATGTGATAATAATATAAAAAGTAATATATTCATATAAAAAAAAAACAACGTTTTTTCACTTTCTTCACATTTTTTATGATGTTGCTATCACATAACTTAATAATAAAAAAGGCAGTCATTTTCGTAAAACAACTGTTTTTTCCAAACAATTTGATATAAATCCTACCATTTTCTTTCGTCGGCCGAACAGTACTAGGTCGTACAATCGGCGTGGACGGTTCTCTGGAAGAGCCAGCTGCAACAAACAATAGTTTTAATTGTTTAAAATATTACACATAATCTATTTAGTTTTAAATATAATTCATGAGCAATAGTGTTGCTTGATTGTAAATTACGAAATGATTTTTATGACATATAGCTGTTTAAAGTAAGATCTATTCCCACCGTCACATTGCTAGATTTATGAAGATTTTTGTAAAGATATTAGCGTCACAAACATTCGGTATCTGTTATTGAAATGCATGAGATTTATAATTAAGTCTTTAAAAGAAATCATTTAAAAAGACCATAGTACCAAAACGTGACTTCAAATGCTTCATGATTGTTTTCAGCAGAAATAGTTGAATTAGATGTTATATACTTCTTTAACAACAGTTTATGTTTACCTTTATCTCCTTGTTTGGACGGTTCTGTCGACGAATCATCTGAAATTAGAAAAATGATGAAAACAATAAGTTATATATCATCTAAAATCATTAAGTCCTTACGCCAATGTAAGCAAAGTTAGTAAAGCTTGACAGTCGCTATATGATCTCAACTATTTTTGCTTTTTTTTTTGTTTGGATCGGTTTTAAGTCGCACTAACACAGTAAATGTCAACTTTCCAGCTGTTCTGGCGGAGGAAGACCTCAGGTGCCCCTCCGTTCATTATTACAGGCAAGAACACGCACCTGATACTGTACGGCGTAAAACCAAATCAAAATGCTATATATAATCTATATCGCCAATTCATTTCATCGGTTTTATTTGGTAGATGGAATACCATTGCCCTAATGACAACATTCCGTGACATTGCAAGGAAAAAAGCAAGACACATACATAAATTACATCAATTATCACAACTCTTGCAATTAAATGTTTAATCTTGGGTCACCTCTGACACTTTTTTATTGATGTTTCACGTTCATTACTGATAAGCAATCATTTAATGTCGACTTTGTTTCTTATGATTGTGAATAAATGGAAAGTTTCTCCAATATCAGTAACAGTGGCTTATTTTAAGACAATTCTAGACGTATTCGCAATACTTTACGGCTGACAGACTAAAATATTTATCTTTATTATTTCAGTTCAATTACAACAACCACAGCGTTACTAAATTGATGAATTGCATTTAATTTGTAAATTAAATATCATATATAGCAATTTAGGGTTATAACTGTGATTTGTGTAGACAAAACAAGAACAAAATGAATAACAGTATCTTTATGTAAAACAAACTCTTTTGTCTTATAGGGAAAACTATTTATGATATCATTATACATGTAAACAAAACGTTTTATCTTTGTTCTACGAGGGTTGTTCATTAGGATTTTGAACGTATTAAAAATCGATAAATAAACAAAACCCCTCAGCTATAAAGCTTGACCCTTATAATACGGACAAAAACCATTCCTTATTTCAGGGAATTATTCAAACTTATACTGACTGAATAGCAAACAGTGTAGACCTATTAACAGACGACCCGGCTTATATTGAACTAATTAAAACTAGCTGCCTCCTACAGGCTTTGGGTAAAACAAGATATGATACAGATATTACTGTCATACTGTTTAAAGTCACTGGAACCTGTAACTCAAGATAAAACTTCTATTATCTACGGTGCTTATCTAAACAGTTGCATAGTTATTCAGGAATGCCAAATAATAAATCTGACTTTTTATATCTGATTATTGACAAGAGATAGTTGGTTTATTACAACGCACTTTTCTGGCACACTAACAAGATATCCCGAAGGGGTTGTTTTAGAGTGCGTATGGCAAAAACCAAATATTTATTTATCGAGTTTGCTTATTTCTTAAGATTCTAATATTGACATACGAGGAGTCAATTTCTCAAACAATCAGTTTTAGACATAAAATAGATTGAGTTCAATTTTGAAAGATTTTAATTGAAGTTAAAACAAAACCCATTCATTTGCTTTTCAATACTTCATTAGGAATGGTTTATTTTTTATAGATATTAAATTTGCAAAATTTAAGGAAGACATTTATTATGATATTCAAAAGAATATTTCATGAGTATTCACAAAAATTTTCTTCATGCTAAATAATTCATTCTCCGGCAAAATACTAAGCTTTTTGACAAAATTTTGTTGAACAAATCATCAGTTAAAAGTGTAGATGTACACGTCTCATTCTAGTACGCAGTTACGAAACTGACATCCAGAAATATTTAACTATCACCTTAAACAATTTGCTTCTTTTGATAAGGCTCGATTAGGTCACTTACAACGTACTTAATCTCAGTGGCTAGTAATTAGGAAACATTGATTTCCATAAGAATTAAAAACCGCCTCAGCCGGTGTTAGAGGGTGTGAGAGATATATATGATTGTCACGAATAAACTGTCGTATTCACATATTCCTTTCGATTTTCACATTTGTTACCGATCTTGTCTCATTCTGAAAATTGAAACCGATTGAATTTTTTAACACAATAAGTGTTTTTGTTTTTAATTTATTTATTTACAACATACGAATAAAACGATGCCATATACAATGCTGCCCATGTTTCTTTTTTACATTATTGTTATAAAATATTTCATGGCCCTAAGTAATGTACTTGTAATATTTTTCTCATGAAAATGCATATATGTTATCATACTGGATTTATTTGTTGAAATATGTGCATCTTACTGGATGAATATACCCAAACATAGTATTGAAAAAATGAATTTACTGAAGTGGTGTTCTTTTGATGAAGTCATATCTTCATACAAATTGTATCTCACGTCCAATTTTGTGTTTGTTACTTTTACTGTTAAACTTATTAAACACAACGCATTCTGTTATGGCAAAGAGCAACAACACACGCGATTCTAGAATGCCGTCAACATTGTAATTTTGTTCGTCTTTTATCAATCGTCTGTTTGTGATTGACACTACGTGTTATCGGTTCCATTTAGTTGACTATTTATCTTGTGTTTTGGTGTCAAGAGTCCATTAAATGGCGAGTTCCTATTGTTATTTTGTGCTTTAACCCGAGGGGTGATACCTCTCTGAACAATAATTCCTTAATACAGGTTGACGTGTCTCGGACTTAAAACAAATTAATTTCCATATAAAAATATTGTGATAAATAATTATTAAAGAATTCTGGCTGTAACTATGCGTATGAACAAACCAGACACAATATTTCTTTATTCCTTATTGTATTTGTTATTTTTTACATTTAATTATATTTCTATTTAATCAACTGATGCGAAAAAATAAATGAATAAAAACGTTTAAAACTATTAATATAGAATATTAGTTTAATTTTCATAGGATATTTTACTCCGATTAACACACGTTTGTGTAAAGTTTGCACATTTTTTTATTATTTATTGTTACTTCAAAATATTTAAATTTAATGTAGTTAACTCAATGGGGTGTGTAACTTATAAGAGTTTGTTTATTTTCTATAAAAAAAAATACAACATCAACACGATTCAACTTGATAGACTGAAACTTATCTAACGTCTCACCAAATTGAATGAAAAAACAACAACAAAAGAATACTTTTACACTTAATTTCAAAATATAAAAATAACTGGCATATATATAATGCTCTTTCAACTTATTTAAGACACATAAAAGAGTTTCAAACCTACGCTGTATGATTTGGAGTTTTTTGTGAGAGATGCACTAAATTTGCATTTGTGCACATAAATATTTCTTACGTTCTTCTGCACTGAAAAACACTGGACTTGAAACCTATTCGACACGAAGAACGTTCTAGTTGTCTGTTTTTTTTTTCTATTGGTTTCAAAAAATATTGGTACTGGCACAAAAATAGAGAAAGTTGTTTAATTCAGATGTACGTGCAGCCTTTAAATATCAGGGCATCGTTCATTACGTACAAAATGACAATGATCGTATTAACTAAACTTCTGTGTCACGTTGAGCATGTAAGAAGTGCATTTAACTTTAAACAATATTAAAGACAGACCGTCTGTAAACAATTTAGATGTGGCGGCATGACCGGGTGGTTAACGGCGTCGGGCGTCCTGCCAGTAACTTAAGGATGGTTTGCCGTTGGTTCAAACCCTGTCAGGGCCAAGGCAATGTTCCTTGAGCAAGAAATTCGAGAGTGTGTCTATAAGCATTAAGCTTCCTACGCAATCGAATTAAAATGAATTCTGTATAAACTAATTAAGACTAACATAAAATAAATAGGTAGACAGGTAGGTAGTAATGTGGACTAGCGAGTGGGCGCGTGCGTGGGCAGACAGGCAGATAGGTAACATCAATCAAAGCAACAAAAGATTAGTGACCACTAAAGTAGCTTAAGCAAGCAGCTTTATCAAATTCTGCAGCAACTAAATACAAAACCATACACAACTTCATCAAGCTGTCAGATATACGACTTAATGAAGTTCATTTGAAAATTCTGCCAAATAATCCGGATAATCTTATCAAAGAGTCTGCTATTTCTTTAATTTACAAAATAGACATTCCTGACATATTGACATAGAGACATAAAGCCTTAACCCAGCCATGTAAAAGTCGGGGGTTTCAGGAAATGAATTTCTCTTTTTCTGTGAGATTATTATTTGCCTTATCACGATAAGTGTTGCGTCTAACTTGATATGTTTAGAATTGCTGTGAATGTCTGTGAAAAGTATGTTCCACAGTTAATACGTTCTAGTTAAAGCTTCATGATATCAAGTAAAAGATTAATCATTATCATTATTACTTTTACTAAGAAGAAAAGTCATAATGTACTTAATCATTTTAATATTTTGGTTTTTCATGTAATTTTGTTGTGATTAATGTCCCGAGTTTCGAGGGATCACTTTGTTTCCATATTTTTGGTTTTAAGTTATCAAAAACTCGATCACTCGCAAATTAAATCGCGGGAGAGAGACTATTGTTGCATTTCAGATATTTTTTGCACGCACGGTTTGAAACTTAAATATTCCCTAAAAGTTTCTATAGTTACGTAAAGTCACGTATGAATGTTCCGAAGTCAATAAGCAACCTTGCTCACTCGACAAAAGAGTCCCCATGCACCTCTCCCTTATTGAATGGTAAAGAATAACTTCTACATTAAATTTTATCATTCCTTTTCAAAATTTGTGTAGGGTGACTTTGGAAGTGCTCTTGTTACAAAATACAAAGCAACAAAAAGACTAACCTTGTGTGCGCAACATTGCAACACATTTGAAAAGAAAACTACAACTAAATACTAATAAGTGTGAATTTTGTGATCATTACAATGAAATACTCTATAAAATACCAACATATCAATCAGAAAAGCAAACTCAATTAATCAACGCAGCTACCAGACATCTCAAACAAGACACTTAATGACCCCGACTTAAAAGTCTCACGTAAACTAACGTACACTTCGTTAAGAGAGGCCACTATATATTATGAACAACTTCCATCTGCAAATATCACTCGCATAATCTGTTTTACAACACATCCAATTAGAGTCAATTAGATACTGTATGTTGCTCTCTAATACAGTTTACACATTGCTAAGCTCTGATCCTAATCACCAATCAGGCATCGACCAGGTTAATGAGATATTGTAAAAGCAAACATGCCGCAAACAAGACAATCAAATAAAACTTTCGTATGACAAGGAAGCTGAACATTGTTTTAAGTTTTTCCTAGCTACATATTTTAAATGGACTAGCCAATCTTTCATTCTGGGTGTAACTATTCATCATTAGTAGGGAAAATTTCACACTATGTTCTGACACCGAAGAGTAAACAGTGCAGGATGTGTCTGTAGTGGTCGCATCAGTTAAATCTGTTTCCGATGGTAAACTAAAATGAAATGGTTTGACAAATACAAGCTTAATTCACACACTGTAGAAGAAGTAAAAAGTGAACAAAAAAGCAAACAGTATCTGTGACAAAATGGTTTTAATAACAATGACTTTAAGTAACATATTTACGTATATAAAAAATATTGAATTTGTGTCAAGCCAACTTGGTTTATTACACTCGTCGTAGGTTTGATAAGGATGCAGTGGTGTGTCCGTTAGTTTACCTTGAACTATTTAAACTATTACCCATGACGTATGAAACAGTGACATAGATGACAAAATCATATATGATATTATAATTTAAATTAATAACCAATGACAATCTAAAATCTAACAGGATTTATGATGACCCTTATTTGCTATACATGTATTGCTGAAATAAGTTATTTTATTCGAATATCTTTTATATCGTTTTATTCACTTGATGTATAGAACAACGAAGCTATGTTAATGTCAAATTCCTCTTGAAAAAATGTGCTGTTATAAAACGAGTAAAGACATGTTAATTTTAAAAACAGTTTGCATAATGAAATATAATGTCTTTATTCTCATTGTTTTATCGGACTGCAGTGGAAAAGAAATTGAATGTATAATAAATTAAGTTTCACTGGTCTTCTTTGTATTTATTTATCATTTCGTAACTTACTACTTTGATTTCATGGAAACACATTTCTTATCTCTTAATAAAATCCTATTTTTTACGATTTATTAAACCTTTGTTATAAATCATTTATACTACTTAAGTGGGCGAGCTTTGAATTGATTTTTAGCACTGAAAATATAGTTTTATTCAAGAAATCCAACTTATACGTCATAAATAACTTAGCTGAGCTATAAATTGATTTGTAGCGCTAAAAAGTATTTTAGTACTTTAACAATACAATATAAATAAATATAATCTGTATCAAGCAATGCAATGAGCGTCAATCAAGTATTGATCTCTCAGCGTTAATTTGCTATTCCACTAAAAATACACCAGAAACAATATTCGTGGAGCTAAATATTGTCCATCAAATGGGCTATTAACTGGAAACTATTGAAATGTTTTAAAATGTATTTGTCACATCAAACCTCAATAAACAAGATGCATACAAGACATTAGGCCGACGTGCTAAAAGAAAGTGCCATTAAATGTGTCGGCGGCGGCACGATATGATGGTGATAGATACATGATAAGAATAATGCTTCAATGATTTTCAGATTTCGTCTTCATAGAAAATATTACAATACTGGCAATGGAAACGTTAAATGTCTCCTTTATAAGGAATATAAACAAATAAATTAATAATATCATTAAGAGAATGGCCTTTGTCTGATTACGAATATGTCACAATCATGACACTAATGTTATTTCAAAGTGATTGAATTAATAATTATACTTGCTAAAATATTGGACAGTGATATGGGAAATGTCGAGGCATTTGACAAACAATTACGAGTGTGGCAAATGATAAGAGAATCTGATTTGTGGAAAAAATGAAATAATACGAAAGGCTGTTTTACAGCAGTCTAAAGATAAACATTCAATAAAAGATATAGTGTAGATTGCTTACACAACACCCTTTTTTTTCCTCAAGCTGACATTGACCTTTAACCTACGCAAGCAATTGATGTGTTCATACATTTCGAAAGCGATCAGCATTTTGGTCTCTAGTCATTTTAAGTTACTATATGCTACAGAGTGTTTCACTGATATGTGTACAGGAAAGAAAACTCAAAATAATTACACAGTTTGCAATAGTTGCTTTAAATTTCATATTTTACTTCATTTGTGTAATCAACAGTCTATGTGACTCAAACAAACTCTATAAATACCCTTAGGTGTGTATTGGTAATGTTCAAAGTGATGCTTAGTCTTGTTATATTTTAGGCAGTTTTTTTAAATTTTATCCTTAACACATTTAATTATCAATTGCACGTCGATAACTATTATAATATCCTTGTCGCCGAAGCTGTCTGATCCTAGTCTTTACTGTTCGCTATTCATCCGCTGTAAGTATATATAGTTTTTGAAAAGTTCACTACAAAATGATGAATGGTTTTGTCCAGATGGAAAGAGTGACGCGTTTATTGAAGACATTTAGCGTGATCAGATCCTTTTTCAAGAAATGCAAACTATGTGCATCTGGCTGCAGATTTTCATTTCATGAAACACTTCTAGTATTTTAGTGTTTGCAACTGCTTGCAAAGGGACTTTTGGGACATCAAGAGCTTTATAGACATACAATTTAGTGTATTCAAACACTTATATGTTGTCCTGTATATTCTATTTTTGTTATTGCGTGGTGACTATAAAATTTGATTATATCTTCATGCCAGGAAAATAACTAGTCTTTTTTTGCGCGATACTCGATCTATGCAACATGTCTACAGTAGCGGCAAAAGATATATGTAATAGATTTTCATTACCCTCGCGAGATGGACGCCTAAATATAGTATCATCTTTCTCGTAACGTTGACGTTGTCACACTAGACACGAGATTATGTGAAAATTCGAATTAGCTGTGTCCGCACAGCCGGCAACCAGACCTCTTAACTGATTTATGAAAATGGGCAACAGTGTAAATTCGTTCGCCAACTGAGATATGTGGCGTTTATATTGGGATAAATTACTACGTTCCCTTAAAATGCAGAGATAGAAAATTCGATAAAGCTTTTTTAACATTTATTAGTGGGTGTCAAACAGAAGCGAGGACATTTATGTCATTCAGCTTATGCGCTACAAGGGTAGAGCATAGATTACGAACAAAGACATTACTAACAAATTAAAGCAATTAATCTTCAGTACAAACATTGTGGTTGGTATATAGATAAAACCTATCAAGTCGCACGATAGCAGATTATTCTTCAAACTTTGAAGAGTCTTCGTAAATTTCTTTTAATATCAAGAGATTAAAAAATCATTAGATATACAGTTTGTATATATTATTAATTAGTTTTGAAAAAATAATATATATTTTGAATAAACAACTGAAACAATAATAACATTTAGCTGCAAACATAACACCAAACGCATGAAATGCAACTGGAACGATTGCGATTATAAATATTTATTTAAATTTTGTGTAAAATCTGTGGGTGTGTTTAATCTTCGGATTCATTTATATTTTAATTATAGAATGTGAAAAAGAAAAGAAAATACAGAATCAGCCAATAAGATAATACTACATTAGAATAACTTTCATGATGAAATCGCAGAGTTTGTGATAATACGTATATAAAAATATTAATCAATATAATAATCAAGATCTGGAAAAAATGAGGGAGAATGATCAAGTGGAACATCCCTCACGCCCCCCTAGCACCGGCTTGAGCGGTGCTCAAATTTCATCACTTAAAACTGCTGAAAGTTCAAATCTCAAGTACCAGTACTAGTGTGCCCTGTTCACAGAGACTTAATAAGCTGAAATTTGAATATCAAAATTGCAATAATAGAAAAAAATAGTTTACATATCAAACTTACCTCTTTGACCTACTATTATTATTGTTATAATAGCAATTATTGCAACCAATGCTAGCAATAGTCCTAAGATATATAGTCCTTTCCTTCTTTTAGGTTTACTTGGCCTATAATGTACCGAGGTTTGAGCAGCATTTGGTAGATCGTAAGGCTTTGTTCGAAGACCGTCCGTCTGTCTGTGTAATTTGGTCTGTGTATCATTTATCACCGTTCCTTCCTCTTCGAATAGCGGGTTCTCATAGCACGCCTGAAGAAGAAGTTCATTTTCATCTATATTTGAATATGGATTTCTATTTGAAAATTGTCGTAAATTTTGCATAGGAATTATCCTGCTAATAAACTTTGTTCCCATTCTTAAACCCGAACGCTAATCCTAATCCTAAGCACGTTACTTGGTATGAATAAATACGCCACGCTACATAAGTTTTCCTCGGCCAGCAAAATTGTTGAGCGTTGTCGTCAAATGATATAAAACCGTCTATGATTTTATCACATTGTCCTACCAGAATTCGCTTGAGACTCGTGTAGCCAGATGAATTGAGCATATAAGAAACACATGCATCGGATATTCCTGAAAATCCTTTAAGTGGCTGTTAAGTCTGTAAATATTAATTCTAAAGAATTATCGAATTTACACGATATATAAGACGTCTGTCATTTAAACGCGTCATTTAATTAAGAAAAGAGAAGCGGCATGATAACACCTTTCGTTTGACGAATTGAGAATTCCTAGTTCAAACAAGGGAGATTTCTCGCGTTCCCATGTTTGGCGTTATCGATGAAAAACGATTTCCTCATTACAAACGAGCTAAAGCTAGTTATTGTCTTTGACGTTCTTGAATGTCGGGAGGGTCCAGCATATCGACGATACAATGAAGATAGCGAAGAAACCCATCAACAAAGGATCAAATGTTCATTAAATACTTGCATACCAAATCCCTGCTTATACAGCAGTTAAGGTCCGTCACACCATGCCCTATCCGCGTTTATATAAGGCAAAGATGAAATTATCTTTTTGTTACAAAACACTTACATATATGAGGGATGCATCAAAATAACGAAGACTTTTGCTGACGCTTCCACACTGTTGGTATAAATTTAGTAAACCATATATTGAAATAAATAGGAACATTTAATTAGTAAGATTAGACAGAAAGTAGTATATTTCAAATTAGTAAAAATTGCAATCGGACCATTTTGTAGTTGTGTTTTTCTTTTATTTGTAACAAAAATGTTTCCAAAAGGATTACAGATGTACATATATATATTTCTCCTGAAATTTAATGTGCGGTTTTTAAAACCGTATATATGAAAGACTTGAAGAATTAATTGAGTTACTCATAAAAAAGCAGAAAACATTTCTTTAACGACTATTATAATTATGTAACCTTTCTCCTTGTTCGTGGTCTATCTTTAAAAGTGCAATTGTTCGGTGCATGTTAGATATACACATGTTTTTACCGTACAAAACAGATATTGTTGTTGTTGTTGTTTTCTTGTGTTTTCCCCCCATACATTTAAATAATTACGGACATATTTCACATGTTTAGAAAGCGAATATCAAAATCATGAATCCGCCTATTTATTTTGATGCCTATAAATATGCAATGATTACCTAATCAACTCGGATTCCGACGTAAATTTAGAAAACTGATATTACCGTTGACAATTTATAACGATTCAGATGACATCTAAACGGTTCATCAGGGATGCCGTATCTTTTCGCATTTTATGCATTGAATATATTTAGATAATAAATAATGCAAACCATGCAAATCTTTCTGGCGCTTGTTTTGATTTCATCTCGTGATATTGTTATCTGTTTCTAACTGGCTTTAACTAGATGATGAATATATTTTTTAAGGATCAGCTGGAATTATTGCTATTCGATTTAATAATACGATTCTTTGAAATGTATAACAAGAACAAAATATTAGTATCAACTATAATAAATGTTGATACATATATGACGATATAAGGCAGAAAGAAAAACGTGTGTTACATTATAACTGCATAATTATTTCTTTATGTTGTGTTGTAATATTTCAATTAGTTTTTTATGATTTGTATTTAATTGTATTACACATGACTTGACAAAAACTAAACTAAATTTAACAATGATTTAAGATTAATAAAAAATTTAACAAATGCACATTTAGTAAGCACATTATATTAAATGTATTTAGGAAAATGAGTATTGGAGGGTTGTCCAAAAATGAAAAGAAACATAGAGAGAAAAAACAGAATCTCTAAGGAACGCCCAAAACGGCAAAATATAAAAATGTTGCAGGTTCGGTTTGATTGGGCCTGTTCATGGACAGAAGTGGTGTTTGCAAGCTACAGAACGACTCGTTTATGGAAAATAGAAACTATTTTAACGATCCCAGTAAGTTTGTACAATAAAGTTTCCTCTTTAAACGCTTTCATGTAAAGCAAATTAAATTACTTTACAATTACATTTCCATTTTTAAATGCATGATATTTCTCAGAATCAAATACTTCTTCCTTCTTTAAAAAAGGCAAACATAAGTTTTAGAAATGTTAAAATAGTGGTTTTAGAGCATGTTAGAATTTATCATCTGAAGAATGTAGCATTGAAGGTGCAGTATTGTGTGTTGTACAAGAAGCAAAATGTAAACACTGTAATATTTTGACATCCATACAAAACCACTTGCCCATCACCGATGTGGGTTCGAATCCCGACAGGGACTTTGGATTCTTTCATGTGAGGAAGATATCCAGCTAGCTTACGGAACGTCGGTGGTTCTACACAGGTACCCGTTCGTGCCTGAAATAATGCACGGAAGGGCACCTGAGGTCTTCCTCCACCAGTAAAGCTGGAACGTCGTGATATGACCTATACTGTGTCGATGTGACGTAAAACCCAAAACAAACAAACAAACAAACATCCATACAAAATACCAAATCACTCTAACTTCACTTATGTTCAAAAAAGCAACAGAAGCAAACGATGGTTTAAGTAATTGGCCAACCATTAACTTTTTGGAAACAATAATAAGACAATAAGAAAGCTTTTGAGAAATAACAATAAAACCATTTTTGGGACACTTTTAGACCTTTAATCTACGCGTTTGGTTTCATGACAAAATATCTGTTAACAACTCCTGATTTTGCTTTGTTATTTTTACGATATATCCAATTTAAGTGTAACAGTTAACGACATTTCCTTTGAGGTTTACTATTTCCTATTTTTACAGGTTTCTACATTTAATCCATATATTTTCATTTCCGGGCAGTTGCCTTACCTTACATGTAATATACACACAGGCAATAAAATGCGATTTACTTCAGCTTTGTATTTTCCAGAGCTCTTTCCTGTCAACTTTATTGGCGTTCAACACTGATCTTAATCGCTTTACATGACGACGCAAACAATAAAAAGGCGGGAGAAAAATACAATAATCTTGCTTTTATTCAGATTTTTTTCATCTCAATATTGAAACGTTCCTTGTTCGAAGGCCTCCGTTATTGTCACCGTGCGACACATAAAGACATTGTATCAAAGCTATTGCTACCATTTTACGTAAACAGGGTTTCAATGACGAAGAGAGAGAAAAAAAACAAGGTTTCAATGACGAACAAAGGAAGAGAAAATATACACAGCAACAAAGAAAAGGAAATAGCATATAACCAGTAAAACATTCTATATACTTCTTTGTCGGTGCAGCAAACTCTGCAGAGCAACATTGATTAGAAGACATATATTCTTGGTAGATGCCTAAAAAGATGAAAACTTTTACCAAGCCCTGATATTATTTAAGTTCGGCAATTTGCTGCTCTTCATAGGTTGCAGTATATCTTTATTTGATATTCAACGGTTGCCTAATATATTTTATTTTCTTCTCTTAGGGAATTCAACATAAAAGAAGCTTACGGATAAATATTCCCATGTTGGTTCCAAAGACGAATTATGACAGCAATTTAATAATATGCACCTTTGGGGAAAAACATTTTCTTTTTCACAATCTGAATACGAAACATTACTCTCTTACACTGCTAGTAAATATACTTGTACCATATTAACGAATGTACATATCTTTCATTATGTACATCGGTTCATGTGATTTTAATTTTTCCTCATCAGATGTCTCAATCTAGTTATCAAAGCAATCGATTTGTTTTGGAGTATAGTAAACCACTTCTTTGACTAATGAAGTATAACATGTCTATGCTGCGCCGTAGCGCAGCGCACAATTCTGTTAATTGCCTTGTAAACTTTTGGACAGATAACAAATGTCATTAGTTGAGACTTAGTTGAAGTTACACACTCCATCAATGTGATTAAATTCATTTAATTACGTTTGAGAATGCGGAAATAATTTAGACATGATTGTGTGTTAGCTTTAGGGAACACATTTCCCAAAGCTGTTATATAAGGCAATTGAAATTAGGTTAAAATGCCGTTGTTATCACAATTTGTGTTTTTAAAGACACCCTAATAACTTACGGCTGCCGTTTTAAAAGGTAATGCAATTTTGTTTATCGAAAATGATTATGAAACGTATGTTTAACATACAAACAATCTGACTAAATGGATTAACGCTTCAGAGCTATTTAGCATATTTTAACCTCTTTTTGGTAATTTGTGCGGATTGTAAGTGCCGTTTGCAATAAATAAATTATTTTCTTTCTTCAAATCACAATATAGTTTAATTTGAGGCATGCTTAAGTGTTTTTATCTCTTTCTTTGTACAAAAAATGTTCTAAACCTTTGTCATTTTTTGTAGAATAAAAATATTTCTTATTCGATACCTCTTGTCATTGCCCATTTCTATCTGCTTCCTCAAATTTCTTGTTTGGAAACTCCAAACTAATTAAACTTGGAATAGCTATTTTAAGCATATGTAATGAATATATGATTCTACTTTCTTGGTCAATTTCAATATATAGAATCAACATGGCATTAGTAAAATCGATTTATGTTCCGAAAGAAGTATCTTGGTTTTTTGCAGTTTAAACTGTCTGACAACTGAGTGATAACCAGCGGGGACGGTGATTGGTTTTTGAAAAGGTCATGGCGGTTTCTAAATAGGAGACATTCTTGTTGTTTTATATATCAAAGAAAAAGAAGGGCAAGTCTTATTGAAGTACATCACACTTTATAATATAACATATTTAACATTATATTTCAACTACATTATATTTCAACTATGTATCTAAACAAAATCTGGCAAAAGGGAAGAATTTATCACCACAAAATTACATAAAAATATTGCAGACTCGATT